ATCACATGTTTTATAAGTTGAATTAATAGGACAGGATGGCTTCTTTTCAAATGTATCTATTGATGTAAAAACACTAATAAATATGACACTTCTTTCAGGACTACCCAGGTCACGGCTTCTCCCCCAACATGAAGCTGGAGGCCGTGGACCTGATGGAGCCACGGCTCCTGTGCGTCGCCACCGTGAAGCGCTGTGTCGGCCGCCTTCTCCTCATCCACTTTGACGGCTGGGAGGATGAGTTTGACCAGTGGGTTGACCACCAGTCTCCAGACATCTACCCAGTTGGCTGGTGTGAGCTCATGGGCTACCAGCTCCAGTCACCTCCTGGAGTCGGTAAATACAGCGGACTGTAACACTGTGTTTTGAATCAACATGTAGAGCACTGAAGTGATGTGGGTTAATGCAGGAGTACCGAGGCGTTCTGATTAAAGGGGATTAATGGCCAAGGTTTCAATAGATAAGGTCAGAGTATGATGAGGTAATCCCCATGAGCCAAAAGCTTGGCTTGAGACGCCTCTAAATGCTGCATTTCAGTTTTTTTCTCATCTTGGATCTGTGTGATGTCACACAGAAAGCACATATCCTCGACACATCTGCGCCAAAGCTATTTTGGGCTATGAATAACGCTAACTCCTCTAGTGGTGTACCACAACAATAGTCTGAAAATCTGGAAATTAGCGTAAAAGGCGCTCTTTAACCGCATTTAGACTTCAATTTTGATTATAAATACAGCAACAGTTCACTACACTCACTAAGCTCCAGCCTTAAACTGTCACAGACAGAAGTGACTGGTTGATGAGTGATGCATAGATGTTTCTGAGTGTGAAACAAAGTGACTGGTGTTTCATTCTGTTTTCTAGCTGACTTAATTGAAAAGCAGCTGGTGCGGAACAAGAAATGCCGGCGCTTTTCTTTCGGGAGAAAGAGTAGGTTTTATTCAGAAAAGTATATGTAGTCTTGTATCGGTAATGTCTTACTTGACACATGAGAATGATCTCCTTTTCTTTGCTTTTTGTAGAAAAGAAGCACACAAAAAAGAGGCTTTCACAGGACCAAGCTCAAGACGGTGCTGATCAACACACCGAAAGTCCTCAAAGCACTCCTCCAAAAGTGCCACTCATCCAGCCCAAGACTGAGCCAGAGGAGCAGGAGAGTAAGAGACAATTCTCAAATGAGTCACTTTTTCCTCATTTGCATGCTAGTTGCCCATTTTGGTAAATTTGCTGACTTACTTGTCTTAATAGTCGTTGCAGTGAAGGTGAAAGTGGAGGAAATGGAAACGGAGACCCCCATTAGGCCACCGGACAACTTTCAGCAAGACTCTGTGTGCATAATCAAACAAGAAGAGGGAGGGCAAAGCAGCTTGGATAATGTAGAACAGGAGAAGACGGAGCAAAGTAAAACTAAAGACGTGGCCGAAGACGATGCATCACTTGAAGACCGGTGTACCGGTGATAGCAACACTGATCAGAGTGAAAATGAAAGAATGGACAAAGAGGAGTTGAGCCAAGAAGACGACAGTACCATGGATGAATCATAGAGAATAAAAGAACCAATATAGCTGAATCACTCCAATGAAAAAAGAATTAAACAAATAAATAAAAAGACTTTATCAAAAAGATTTTGACTCTGAAAGTTTTCCTGGGTTGTAATGAAGTTTTTTTTTAATGTTTTATATCCAGATAGATCCTTTTGTAAATATACAGTCAATTGCAGTATTTTTAAAAATATATTATCTAAATGTGATTTGATTTTCAACTTTGAGTATGTTGTGAGCCTACAGTGAAGGTTAACTACCCTCAACTGCAGGCTCGGTAAAGCAATGCTTTATTCTTTTTTTTTTCTTATTTTCCATCATACATGTACTATTAAATATAAAAGGCCAAAACAACAATCGGGTACATTCCTAAAAACAATGTCTTTACTGGCCACCTCAGCAACACCGAAAGATACCTGAAGGAGAATTGGAGAATTCTTTCACTGGTTAGGAAAAACTACTTCATAACATCTAACCTAGCCAAGAATCCTTCTACCATCAACAGATATCCTCACGAATAAAAATACAAAATGCTGTCCAAATAATTTGTCAAAAGCAAGAACAGATTAGACCAGGGGTGGGGAACTCGAGGGCCGATGTCCTGCAGGTTTTAGACCTCACCCTGGGTCAACACACCTGAATCAAATAATTAGTTCATGACCAGGCCTCTGGAGAACTTCAAGACACATTGAGGAGGTAATTTAGCCATTTGAATCAGCTGTCTTGGATCAAGGATACATCTAAAACCTGCAGGACACCGGCTTTCAAGGCCTGGAGTTTGACACCCCTGGATTAGACTGCTGGAGAAGAGTGCATATGCATAATATGACAGATTAACTTGTACCAGAATGATAGGAAGGGAAGAGTATGGAGAATTAGAGAAATAGCTCATGATCTGAAGAATACATCCTGTGTCAAACATGGTGGAGGCAGTGTGATGGTATGGGCATGAACGTGGCTGCCAGTGGAAACCAGGCAGCGGTCGCTTGTGTTTATTGATGACGTGACCACTGACAGAAGTAGGAGAATGATATGTGGAGTATACAGGCCCATACTCTGTTCAGAATCAGCCAAATGCTACATATATTCATCCAAGTACTAAAAACAATCCTTATATTAAAAATGATGTTAGTTTGTCCAGTTAATTTTTACAATTTTAACATAAACTCCTTAAATCAAAGTTTAAATCTTAATTGCTTGATTGAAAATGTACTGTGGCAAAACTACTAGTACTGTGCAAATACCTGACTGTAGCACTTTTAAGGTGATAAAAGTTAAAGCCCAACATGATATAGCTTACTAATCCAACCGTACAAAGAATTTATACTGTTGTTCAACATTGTGCTAAGACAGCAAGAATGATTAGTGCAGCTGGGACCGTTCAGTTCAGTGTTTAACCTCAAAACTTTGGTTCTGCGCTGTGCTGATGTTTGCATTGAAGCCCTGACTTTAAAACATCAGCACAGAACGCCAGAATGGATGCAACGCCGAAAGGCGGGAGTTTCAGGGCATGCTGCGTCTCTTTGTGCTTTCAGCAGCTTTCTTTGCTGCACCCTGCTTTGTGTTTGGACTCCCACAAATTTTGGATTTGGCCTTGAGCATCTTGACCTGCTGATGACCGTTGAGGTCAATCGGTTTGGGTTTGGTTGCTTTGGGGGCCTTTGCTGGCTGTGAGGTGACAGCAGGGGCAGAGGGAAGACTCTCTCCACCAGGACAGGCTTTGAACCCGTGGACATCCTTGACCCTCCGACCCCGCAATTCAGGTGGATTGGCACAGGTGGCTCGCACCTTCAGATTAACTTTCTCCATCCATCTAGATAAAGAGAAAAGATCCAAATTAGTTACTAGTGTTAGTTATTTAATGTTATTGAGCCAAACGGTATAATATGTGAACCTTAAAGCTAATCTTAACAGATAAAGATGCATCTTTGGAAAATGGTTTTGTTCCCATAATGACCAACATTCACACATTTTCGCATACTAGAATCTCTCAGCGTCCAAACTTCAGTCCTATTTAACTACATTATTGACTTGCAGCTGTCTTACATGCATAGTGGCAGTAGGGGGCAGTCACACATTAGAGGATTGTCAGCGAGATTGATGACCTCCAAAGCGGTGAGTGGGTGGAAGTCAGGGACCTCCTCCAGCTGGTTGCCCTCCAAGAAAAGACTCCTCAACCCAGGACCCAGTCCTGCCAGGGCGCTCTGCGACATCTGCAGCAAAAGCAATCACATCGGTTTGAAAAAAATCTACATTACATATGAAAACGTTTGTAGAGTGCACAAAGCCCGCTCACCTTCTCCAGTCCCATGTTATTGAGGTACAGCTCTTTAAGTGACCTCCCCAGAGGTTTGAAAGCATTCGATCCGATCCAACGAATTGAATTTCTGGACAGCCTGAGGTCTCGGAGATTCCCAGCCTTGCTCAGTGCCTCAGTGGGCACCTCCTTGAGCTTATTCCCTCCCAGGTGAAGCATGTCCAAGTCATTTGCCTGGTAAAGAGCCCTGGGCGACACATGCACAATGGCATTCCCAGTGAGATAGAGAGCTCTCAAACCCTCAGCCCCCGTCATGATACCTGGCTCCAGCTTAGTGATGGAGTTGTTCTCCAGATGAAGTGCAAGCAGACTGGGCACCAGTTTGAAGACACCTTTGGGGAAACTGGTAAAGCGGTTCTTTTCCAAATGGAGGTAAGTCAGCTTAGGGAGACCTTAAAGAAAAAAAGCAAGTGAGTTTGGATCTTGTCTGACCATCTACTCTAAATGTAGCGTTGCCAGTGAAAGACCTTTGAAGGCATCTGGGCTCAGGGAGGTAAGCTCATTCTCAGACAGGTACAGGTATATCAGTCCCTTCATCCCATTGAAAGCCCCTCCCTCTACATCCACAATTTTGCAGCGCTGCAGGTGCAAGGACACAACCTGGGTGACACCGGGGAAGCTGTTGCTGGGAATGTAGTGGAAGTTGTTGCCACGCAGGTCCAGGAGACGTGTGCTGGCAGAGAAACCGCGAGGCACTTTAGTGTGACCACGGTTCTCACATGAAGAGTGGTGTGTCTCTGCCTGTAGACAGGTAGGTAAAGGAAATTTAGAGCTCACCAGCACTTCAACCTTGCACGTCCCTCTCCTGACGCTATGAAAGTGTGTTTGTATGAAACTGTCCAGCTTCTTAAATTAATATAAAAAGATTAACTACAATCAGAACAGTAACTTGGATTTTAAAAGTGTTGTTTCTTTACTTCTGATCAAATACGAACCTCTTAAGAGTTAGTTAGGACAACTGATTCATTCTGATGTGTGTTAAATTTGAAGCTTCAGCCAGCAAAGAACCATCTTAGCTTAAATTAATAGCCAAAGTAAAATTTTATTTTATTTTCACTTGCTACACACGAAGCAAACATGATTGGGGGAAAGAAAAGGGAGAAAGAAAGAGAGGTAGGGGAAGAGGAACGGTGATAAAGGGCAAAAAACAAAAACCAACAAAACAAACAGACAAAAAATACATATTTCAATCACCTGGATCACCTGTTGGGAAAGAAAAAAGAGAAAACAAGCAAAAAAAAAGAGAGCAATATAATAAACAACATCATCGCGATAAACTAACAGTAAATAACAGTAAATACTAAATATTGAATATTATTGTGCAGCACATAAGATCGACCGTGCACAGTGTGATTTGAGGTAGGAGCCAAAAAGGGTGTAGTTTGTGTGTGTGAGCACCCGTGAAGGACAAAGAACACACCAGACAGGTCAGGGATAAAGTTAGTGAGAAATTTAAAGCAGGCTTAGGCTACAAAAAGATTTCGCAAGCCTTGAACATCCCACGGAGCACTGTTCAAGCCATCATTCAGAAATGGAAGGAGTATGGCACAACTGTAAACCTACAAAGACAAGGCCGTCCACCTAAACTCACAGGCCGAACAAGGAGAGTGCTGATCAGAAATGCAGCCAAGAGGCCCATGGTGACTCTGGACGAGCTGCAGAGATCTACAGCTCAGGTGGGGGAATCTGTCCATAGGACAACTATTAGTGGTGCACTGCACAAAGTTGGTCTTTATGGAAGAGTGGCAAGAAGAAAGCCATTGTTAACAGAAAACCAGAAGAAGTCCCGTTTGCAGTTTGCTACAAGCCATGTGGGGGGGACAGCAAACATGTGGAAGAAGGTGCTCTGGTCAGATGAGACCGAAATGGAACTTTTTGGCCAAAATGCAAAACGCTATGTGTGGCAGAAAACTAACACTGCACATCACTCTGAACACACCATCCCCACTGTCAAATATGGGGGTGGCAGCATCATGCTCTGGGGGTGCTTCTCTTCAGCAGGGACAGGGAAGCTGGTCAGAGTTGATGGGAAGATGGATGGAGCCAAATACAGGGCAATCTTGGAAGAAAACCTCTTGGATTCTGCAAAAGACTTGAGACTGGGGCGGAGGTTCACCTTCCAGCAGGACAACGACCCTAAACATAAAAAGATCTGAAAACTGCTGTTCACAAACACTGTCCATCTAATCTGACTGAGCTGGAGCTGTTTTGCAAAGAAGAATGGGCAAGAATTTCAGTCTCTAGATGTGCAAAGCTGGTAGAGACATACCCTAAAAGACTGGCAGCTGTAATTGCAGCAAAAGGTGGTTCTACAAAGTATTGACTCATGGGGCTGAATAATTATGCACACCCCACTTTTCAGTTATTTATTTGTAAAAAATGTTTGGAATCATGTATGATTTTCGTTCCACTTCTCACGTGTTCACCACTTTGTGTTGGTCTTTCACGTGGAATTCCAATAAAACTGATTCATGTTTGTGGCTGTAATGTGACAAAATGTGGAAAAGTTCAAGGGGGCCGAATACTTTTGCAAGCCACTGTATATCTCCCCCACCTGCAGAGTGAGTTCATGGAGAGAGGAGACCTCCTTCAAAAAGCCCTTTTTCAATCAATGAACTTGAGGGCTGTTAACTGGTAGATTAAAAACACAAACATGGGGGAAAAAGGCAAATCAAACGCTAGTTTTACAGACTTAAACTTGGCATTGATTTTCTAACCTAATCAAGAATCCAGCGTATTCCTCAATGTGTTCAACTATATCCTACTATATTGGCAAACGCAGGTAAAGAGGTTAAAGTCAGTTTGGAATATATGGTAGGCATTAAACAAAATATAAATATACAAAAAACTAGTGGCACTCACCTCACAGACACAGTGTGCAGGACACTTGACCTTGTTCAGTTCTTCAGTGGGTCGTGGTATGATCCCTGCTGCTTCCTCTTCCTCACTCTGGCATCTCAGCTTAGGAGGGTGGACAGCGTTCAGTCTCTCACCTGAAAGATGGGATGGCCCTCCACAAGTCCCCACCAGCTTCACTTTGTTATAGAAAGCCCACTCTCTGCAGAATAGGGGGGAAAAAAGAAAAGAAGAACAAAGTGCTGATCACTTTCCTGAGGTTTCCTGAAGCTGTCAGTACATGACCAACAACAGCCCATCGTACCTTAGTGGACACAGGCAACGGTTGCAGAGGATTGGATTTCCGGCCAGGTTTAGACGGGACAGCTTTGGCGAGCCTTCGGCGAAGGGCTGGATGACACGCAGCTGGTTATTGCTGATGTCCAGGTGGATGAGGTTGGGGGATTTTGAAACAGCTGTGTTCACCAGGTCCTGCAGGGACATGTGGTCCAGGAAGAGGTGGGTCAGCTTGGGCATGGACACAGCCTCCTCCCCCAGGTACGTCATGGGGTTGTAGCTGAGATCGAGACGAGTCACCTCAGGCAGCCTGGATGCAGAAAAGAACAAGGCAGGAATAAGAACAATGATTATTACTCTTATTACTCTTTGTCAACACAGACATCAGGTGTCTGAGTTTAACAAATGACTTTCTGTCCATTGTGTTGAAGTTTGGTCAGACAAGGGACTATACTGTCTGTGAGAGAGGGATTTGACAAAACATGGAATCCCTTTTGTTCTTTCTACTGATTAATATCACACAACTCATCACTTTATTTAAAACCTAGGGATTTTCCATTTTCTTCTCTATCTAGAAATAGGAGAGCCTAATTTAAAAAAAACTTAAATTGCAATATCAACCAGCTTAACTTATAAATGTTAATAGATAGCACATAAATGATGGATAGACGCTGTTATACTGAAGAGTGAACCCACTAGGCTTCACCTTTGAGGCCTAACAACCTTAAATCTGCATCCTTTGTAATGGCCAGCAGGGGGAGACTCTACATATCTCTCCCTAAAAACGCTTTCCTAATGAGTCAACGGTCTGCACTGCAGAAGATAATATTAATTTATACATAATGGTCAAACAGTTAAAGAAACAAAACAAAACAAACAAATTAAAATAACTTAGTAAAAGTAACTGATAAATTAATGGCTACTGGTATGGATAAGCAGCTTAACGTTCTGTAAACATGATGTCATTAACAGAACAGCAAAAACATAACAGGTAATCAGTTGAACTTGTTATCTAAAGCAAAGGAATTGACTACTTTATTGATCCAAAGCTTAAACCTAACAAACAGTAACCTTCAGGGAACGTTTCCCAAAAAGCCCCTAAAAGTTACAATTTGGAGGCGGGTCCAAGAATGTCCGCTCAAGGCGGTGCATAACTATTAGCTTACCATTTTAAAAGAAGTAAGTTAATTGTTATGTACAACTGAAACAGTTAGCTAACACAAATCAAGGAATGGGAGTTCATTAGAACTCACGAACACAGAATCTGTTGAAGAGTGAAGGAAAGCGCTTTTTTGACTCTGACAAGACTATCGGGGAACATTGGATAAAGAATGGGATCCATTGCTTTAGGGTGTGGCCACCTTGTGACTGACAACTCATGCGGTGTCCTACGTTTTTCAGTCAGTTCAACCTATTGATCATCACATCCAGTAGAAACAAACCTACGTTGCAATGCCTAAAATATCAAATGTTGAAGCCCACTGTGATTCACAGTGGCTATGTCCATCTTTAATGTACAGTCTTTGACAGTGGTTTTCAAAGTGTGGGGTGGAGTCTTTGGAGACCTTGCCAATTCTATTCTCTATTTTTTTAAGTGATACAAATTGGACTCTTTTAATTATTCGTAATCAATGATTAAAAAAGAAAGAGATGTGACATTTTTTCAGCTTCAGAAGTCGAGAATGCCAGAAGAAGCTTTCTTAAGCTTTTTCTCTAGTACGTGTAAAGCAACCAGCGGGCCTGTACTTTGCTGTTAATTATGATGTCATAATTGTCACATTGGATTTTAGTTTTTCTCTAGATTTACATCCAGTGTGAGATTCCTGTTTAGCTCCAATGCTGAGCGATGGTGCCTCTCACTTCACCTGGTCATGGTCTCAGTGGGGAAAAACTGTAACTCGTTGTGATCCAGGCTGAGACGAGTTAGTGTGAACAGTCCGGCAAAGGCTTCAGTGTCCAGGTAGATTAGACAGTTGTTACTAAGACGAAGCTTCTTGATATTCTGCAGGCCCTGAAAGCAAAGGAAGCTGGCATTTTATTTAAGGCTCCAGCAACAGGTGCATCTCTGTAAAATCTTTGAAATTTTCATTTTGAAGTATTTTGTACACACGGTTTAGTGTGAGTACCTGGAATGCCATATTAGGGATGTAAACCAGCTGATTGTGTGAGAGGGAGAGCAGGTTGAGGGAGCCCAGCTGAGAGAACGCTCCAGGCTGGATCTCTTTCACACGATTACGGTCAATAATAAGCTGCTTTAGTGAGGACAGACCGTCAAATGCCTCCTAGAATCATAAAAAAACCAAGGACTGCACTAAAAATTGTTGGGTAGACTTCTTGAAGTTAATTTTTATTTTTTTAAAAACCACTGAAAATGATCATGGGATATATGTGGTTTAAGTCTAAGAATACCTGGTAGAGGATGTCAATGTTGTTGTTGGAAAGGTTGAGGAAGACCAGGCGACCGAGGCCACGGAACGCCGCCTCCTTCACCTTGTGGATGTTACAGCGCTGCAGCGACAGGTGAGTCAGGTAGGGGGTGTGCATGAAAGCCCCAGTGGGGAGTTCCTGTATGTCATTACCTTGAAGGTCCAGTTTGACTGTTCTCTATAAGGAGATTACATATTAGAGGATAATAATAAGTATTTAATAGGTACTACAGCTTGAGAAGTTTAGCCGAAGCCTTATCATTCTTTAACAGGGGTATTAAAATTTGTATTTGCCTCGAAATAAACACCTGTTCAACAGAATTGTTTAAACAGCCCCATTTTTGAGGATTGTTTAAACTCCACAGCTTACCCGACTGTTGTTGCTAATCATTTCCATCTAGACTTCTTAGATGTGCAGCAGACAAATGTGCAGCAGCTGTGTGATGTTATCATGCTAATACGGACCAAAATCTGGGAGGAATGTTTTAGGACCTTGTTGAATCTGAGCGGATACGACCTGGTGCTAGCAAGGTGTATCTAACAAACTGATGAGTAAGTGTATATGTTTATAGATACCTCATCAACATTAGGAGGAACCTGGGTCAGGTTCTTGTTGGCACAGGTCACATTGAGTTGGATTTGGTCGCAGAAACACTCCTGTGGGCATTTTGCTGCTTGGACTGCAGAGACCCAGAAGACCAGCAGGTTGATCAGCAGAATCCAAAAGGTAACGGGAAGGTCCATCTGTAGGGAAAACCCTGATTCACTCTTTTAGTTTGGCCACATAACATGTCAAACTGCAATGCTAAATGTTTAAGGTGCACGTACGCCAACAAATTACCGCTGATTCGTTTTTTTTATTTTTAGCGGCGATGTACCGTAATAGAAAATTTATTCATGCATACAGCTTTCCAGTTTTCTGTTCATGTTGGCAGCTTCAACATTAATTTATATGCATTTGGATAAAAAAATGTATTAATGTAGTAATATATCAGTTACAGGGGCAACTTCTTTTAGAGGTATTTTGTTTTGTTTTTTACACTTGCTACTTTAAACACATTTTTATTGACAGATTTGCATCAACGTGTTATTGATGCAAGAGATGTCATTGTAATAGATTCTCATTAAACCAAGAATAAGTCTTTTAACCTGCAAAAAGGTTGGAAACTGTCCTTGGTTAGTAGAATCATAAGGAATGTCGTTCTCAGAGGAAGTTTTAAAAAATGTTATTATCACTGAATTCGGACACCGTAAGAAAAAGCTGTGTGTCATTCAGTTATTTTTCCCTTTCCAAAGCTGAAGGTAGTTTAAAAAAATCCTTCTGCACTTTTGGGGATTAATGCCATTTGGTCAGATTGGTCTGCCGTAGTCTTCACTGGAATGCCTTAAAACCACATTCCCATGTTGGATCAACAGTGCTGATCCACAGGAACGGACATGAAAAGCTTCAGAGCTCCACACTCTACAGTTTGGACTCTGGAAATGTGGACACGTGCAGTATGCTATGGCTAATTTTTTTCTGTTAAAACTGTGACCTCAAAGAAACCATTGACCGCACAACACAAACGGCAAATACATGAACTTATTTGCTATGTGCACTTGAAGTCAATGATAAGATTGGTATAAAAGGTTGAAAATACTTGGTGTCATCTCAAGCAGCAGGGAAACGAAGCTGTACCACACGTTTAAAAAGAATTAAACTGCTAGTTTCATAGTTATTCACGCCATATTATTTTCGAGTGCCCACCTGAACAGAAAGAGGCCCAGAAACTAGAGAGGAAGGAATTTCCTCAGTTCAGGCTGTTTGTCTTCGTTCCCCCGGGATCAACAGGTCCAAACCGCGGAGGAGCAGCCGCACCGGCCGTGCACAAAGGCGCAGTGTCTTTCTCTGCCGCGGCTGTGCCAAAATGCGTTTCCCCTGAAAATACACGCCTGTCCACCGGGCAGTGCGACATAGCAGGCACTGTACAGCCCCGAGACACTGATTTAGCCTAAACTACGATCATTACAAAAAATCTGAATATGATTTGTGTAGATATCAGGTTACATTTGTTCAAGTTAAGTGCTTATTACAAAAAAATACTAAAGTTCGTTATTAAAAGACGATGCTTTCCTTTTTGACGCAAAACAAAATGCAGGACTAAATACCTGAGCATCGGGTATCAACCGTTCCGGCCTGTTTAAGTGTTGCCCGGACACCATTGCAATCGTTTGAATGTGTGTAATACTTTTAAATCCGGACATTCAATGATAAGAAACCCCTTTACGCACAAACTCACCGTGGCGGTTCCGTCCAGCTGCAGAGCGCTACTGGTCCCTCAGTCACGAACTCCGCCGCTCTTCCCCTGCTTGTCGCCCCATCCAAAACAAACTCCGTCTATCCCCTTCTTTCACGTCTGCTCCTTGGCTACCTCCACCTCCAACCCCACTGCTGCAGTCTGCTCACTGCGCCTCAGAGTTTATTAAAGGACTAGTTCAGCCCAAAGTGAGGAGAATCAGTCACCTCAGAGCCTAAAGTCTAACTTTCATATGCACCACTAAAAATGAAAGTGAGATTAAAAAAATTAAAATATGAAAGCACTCTAATCACAGTATAACACATGCAAAATCAGAAGGCATAAATGATTATGAATCCTTTTCTCCTTCTTTGGTTACAATGGATCTGTGAGATCTCAGATGAACCAGACCTAGATCAGATGATCAATGAACCAGTTTGTGTAATTTGGTGTCAGGTGCAGTGATCCATAATGTCCCAGAGGTCTTTGAGGATCGGTGAATGGCATTGCTGACTTTGTTGTTCAGGAACAGCATAAAAACACTGGTCACATGAGGCTGGGAATTATTCTCCACCCACATTTGGTCGGAGGATTTCTTTTTTTTTTTTTTTGTCCCGTTTGGATCTATAGCCATCAGAATTGTTGTCTTGAGGCCAAGAAAGATGCCAAGCGGATTTATTTTACCAAGTGGATCATCATGGCCTTGCCATATTGGTCCATTTGATTGACCTTTATTATAATTATGAATTTATTTTATTTTCAGTTGCAAACGGGACAGACATAACTGTGGGATAGGACAGGGGGAAAGAATGAAAGAAAGAGGGGGAGAGAAAGAAAGAAAACCAAAGGGGAGAAGAGACGGTGAGAAGGGGGGGGGGGGAAGAGAGAAAAACAAACAAACAAAAAAATAACAAAGAAAAAACAAAACTCCTGGGTCACCTGTATGGAGAGAAAACAACAGAGGAGACAGCAAACAACAAAGAGCAACATAATAATAGAAAAAAAAAAGCACCATCACAATAAACTAGCTAGCAGTAGATATCAATAGTTACTAAATAATAAACGATATTGTGCAGCACGTAAGATAGACAGCGCACAGTGTGCTTTGAGGCAGCAGCCAAGAAAGCTGTAGTCCGCGTCTGTGAATACCCATGTGTACACCTGTGTGCATACCTGTGTGGATCAGCATGCTTGCATTCCAAAGGCTTCTCCATGTAATGATCTGCTAGGGAGTGTGGGGAGCCACAGCCCTGTCCTTTATGGTATCAAGCAGGTATGGAGGAGATCAAAACTCCAGACATCCAGAGGCCCCCAGAACACAAGAGACCAAGGAAGACCCACAGAGGGGCAGCTGCGGTCGGAGGATTTCATTCTGGTACCTACAGCAGTCAGGATACCAAGTCGAGGTCTGTGTTCTCTTCAAGGATATGCCTACCCAGACCATCTCTACCACACTGCCAAACTGGTCATGCTAGATGATATTATGGGGTTGTTACTCCTCATACACTTGAGCAGCCACTGGTCCTGCTGCTAGGTTGATGCTATTCTACAGCCCTATCCACGGCTCCTCACATCTCCTCCACACTTTAGTCTGTACCTTCTTGTGATAGCACCTATGGATATGTCATCCTGGAGTTGGACTTTCTGTGAAGCCTCAGTGCGATGCAGGTTCCAGTCTCATGCAGTAGTGGCAAGAATCAGTCAGGAGGGATAAGATCAATGATCTGTGAGAGGGGGGTTTATTCTGTTGCCTCTCATGCACCTGTTGTCACTTTTATTTACACCAAAGCAGGTGAACTACACTCATCACAGTTTCTGCTTCCTAACTGGACAGATTGTATTCCTTAAGTTTAACTCATCGTGTTTTGATGTGATGCTCCATTATTCATCTCACCTGTTTTATTCAACATGGATGCTTTCTGAGGACCGATGCTAATAAAACAGTGACATTTAAAGCTGATCAAGTATTCAAGGATGAATGGAGGATTCGATGGCAGACTGCATGAGAGCTGTTGGGGAGAAAGGAAAATGAGGCTGGAGGAGTGAGTTAACAGGTTGATGTGTTACAATGGGGTAAAAAGACCCATGACACCTTTAACCAGTAAGGGTCCTTTTATTAACTACACAAGTAGTTAATAAAAGGACTGGTAACATTTTGTCACGCTGTTGCGCACACATTTGCTTCAACTGGTCAGTTGCCTGTGTGCTATAGACTATATTGTACGCTTTATACCCTATACTTACTAGTTTTTGTTGCATCACTCGAGTGATGCAACAAAAACTGCGTCTGCTCGTTATTAAAAAATATAATTTCCTTTTTGATGCAAAACCAAAATAAAGCACTGAACACCTGGGCATCGGTCATTAACCGTGCATTTCCCCGGACACATTAGTCGTTTAAATATGTGTATTACTTTTATATCCCAACATTAAATGATAGAATCCTTTTTACAAACTTACTCAGGAAATATGGCACTTCTTCCACTGAAGAAGCTTCTTGGATGAGATGTAAAACTCAAGAAACACCAGCTGGGGGACTGTTGGAGTCCTTGTAGGTTTCAGTGACGTTTATCCCATTCTTGGAAGGGGTGGCACCCTAAAATGATCGCTTGTTCGCTCGTTTCAGGGCGGAGCTACGAGGGAGGCCGTGCGCGGAGGTGGAGAGTGGCTGGACTGCATGATTGCGCACAGTCAGGTGGAGATAGGAGCCTCCTCCCTGGTCTTCTGCTGGCGCGAGAGTCCCCATCCCGGAAGAGGAGTTCCTCTCCTGTCTCTTTCAGCTCAGGAGAATTTGCCCGTGTGTTGCTGGCCGGGGAGAATTAGGACCCTGGGGGGGAGTTTTTAGTATCGGGAAAAACATTCATTTAGCTTTGTGTTTTTAGCGTTTAATCATTCCTGCCGGCAGGGTTTTTAGCGGGTTGTAAAGACTATTTTTTCGTATAGCGGGGATTTTAGCTTGTATTTGGGGTTCTGACTGTGTTTTATCCTGAAAATAAATGGTGTGTTTGAAGCCAGCTAAATTTCTGTGCTCTGAGCGCTGACCCACTCACTCCCTTTCCGCTTGTATAGACGTGGTGGTGAAGATTTAGGTCCACCAGTTTAGCGGCTACAATCTGCAGAGGAACACCGGCCTTGCACATCCCCCTTCTAGAAGATACATGCCTAACTGAAGATGAATAAAGGTTTTTTGTGAAAATGACTGAGTCCATTGCCGTCTCTGGATGCCCGAGGAATAAAAAAGAACCGGGGTGAAACTGCTTTACGCAACACTCATAAAGAAACACTACTTCAAGGAGAGGGCGTCGACGTGCCTGCCCGTCCGCAGTCAACCTGGGTTGTTGTGTGAGAAGCCCGGGATTTTTTAGACTGTAATTCAGGGGTGTCGAACTCCAGGCCTCGAGGGCCGGTGTCTTGCAGGTTTTAGATCTCACCCTGGGTCAACACACCTGAATCAAGTGATCAGTTCATTACCAGGCCTCTGGAGAACTTCAAGACATGTTGAGGAGGTAATTTAGCCATTTAAATCACCTGTGTTGGATCAAGGACACATCTAAAACCTGCAGGACACCGGCCCTCGAGGCCTGGAGTTCGACACCTGTGCTGTAATTTGTTTCATAGTTAGATGCCTGGCTGACAACTCTATAAAAACGAAAACTACACACAATATTCAAAGCACATAGCACACAGAAGTGCAGACATAGGAAAGCTTAAGTATGACTGGGTACCAAAAGCAATCATTCGTGCTCGTAAACTTTTTTTTTTTAAGTGTGTAACATTCACAATGAAATTGTTGATGGTAACGTGTATGATTCCAGGATACTTGGCAGTGTTGAGCTCGAAGAGTTTTCTTCTTCTTCGGCCATGTTCTCTTAATAATGCACACACTTGGTTGGTTGGTTACTTTTCCGTTTCTTTTATTGTTAGCAACACAGGAGGGAAAAGCATACATTACTTCAGCAGTTCGCGCTTCGGAACATAAGGAACAGGAAGTGAAGTAATCATAATCACCAAAATAAAATCCTTTCCAAAATAAAATGACAATCACAAAACGTCTTTCACAACATAAGATAAATTAATATATTTACTCATGAGAACACAAATCTAACAGGCAGGCTTTTGACTTTTTGCACACAATTGGTTCCACTGATCGAGTATCCTGCAGTGCTGTGTTCGTGTTTACCCGTTTCATCCACTTTATTAAAGTGTACAGTATTACAGTAACAGTTAGTTGTGGAATCACTTAATGAATGCCTACGTGGAGCTTTAATCTGCCTTAGACTTACTGACCTTTGAATCAGCATCCCAATAGTCCTAAGGGCACTGACAAAACATACAAGTATAAATAAATAAAAATTAATAGAAAGAGAAACATGTTTGTTAACGTTTTTTATCAAATTATGCACAAATTACATTCTCTGCCAACAGACCCACAAGACATGACTATGTAGAGGGGAAAAAACTGGCCAGAAGCCATGTGTACCATATCAAGCAGCATTTTACATTCTGTTCAGTGAACTTTACTTGTGGCTTATCAAAAGCTTATCTATTATGTACCACCTGTAGAGTTTTGATACCTGTACATGAATTGCTAATCACACAAATCATAAAAAAAATATTGAAAAATCGCCAAATAGTTTTAGAGTAAACCTGGAATCCCTCCTTAAGAGGTATGGTCCTTCCCATGTGTCAATTCACCATAATTAGGAGAATGAGGAAAAGAGAAAGGTTAGGTACATGACTTCTTAGTCAATATCAGTGCTTCTCCTCCAGTGCTTCTCCACTGGAGGAGCTTTGCTCTGGGCCTGTAAACCTTTGTAAGGAAATCAAATTAGTGTAGTTTTCATGTTAAGTCTGTTTAACTTCCGGTTCCTTTTCCTAAATTGTTTTTTCTTTCCCCTCCCAGACTTGTTTTCGACACTGGAGGAGCTTTGCTCTGGGCCTGTAAACCTTTGTAAGGAAATCAAATTAGTGTAGTTTTCATGTTAAGTCTGTTTAACTTCCGGTTCCTTTTCCTAAATTGTTTTTTCTTTCCCCTCCCAGACTTGTTTTCGACACTCGACATGACCCCAACGCTCACCTACAACAGGGACTCCCTCATCCAGCTGTGGCCGCAGCTGCAGCCCAGGCCTCCGGCTTTTCCGCTTCCACAGACTACTTTCCCGAGGAAATACTCCGTGGACACGGAAATCGAAAAACTCACAATAACAAGGTAACCAGGAGGAGATTAAAGAAGAGTGGGGTGAGAGCCAGACTCAAGAGGGAGACACACAAACAACGAGTGCTCCCGTCCATTATCCTGGCTAATGTGCGGTCTGGACGCTGGACGAGCTGCAAGCCTGTGTCAACCACCTGCATGAGTACAGAACTGCCTCTGTTCTGGCATTCACGGAATCGTGGTTAAACAACAGCGACGACGACAGCACGCTGCACATGAATGGCTTTTCACCACCTCTTCATATGGACAGAGACCGTGAACGCACTGGGAAGCAACATGGCAGCAGCGTGTGTCTGTATGTAAACAGCAGCAGTTGCTCTACAGTCCCGGTAAGGGAGGAGCTGTGCACTACAGACATCGAGCTCCTAGGCTGTTTCCCTGCGTCCCTACTACCTCCCCAGAGAATTCCCACAGCTTTTCATCAACTTGGTTTACGTCCACCCCAGAGCTGATGCAACTAAAGCCACAGAGTACATCACCAAAACTCTGTTCAACCTGGAGCAATTATCACCAGACTCTGCCAAATTCATCCTGGGTGATTTCAACCTCTGTTCCCCTGACAAGTTGCTTAAAGGATACCAACAGTATGTTTCATGCAGCACACGTCAGGGGAAGACTCTGGATAAATGCTATGGCTCTGTACCAGATGCATTTAAAGCCCTACCCCTCTCCTCTCTCGGCTCAGCAGACCACCACACCATCCTGCTGGCCCCTGTCATCAAGAGGACTAACAAGGTCACCAAAAACATCAAGCATCATCCTGCCTGATCGGATGAATGGCACTGTGTGTCCAACAAGCTGCAAATTCACTGTGCATGTGAAAAGAACGTTTGAGGAGAACTGAGGAGACTGTTGGAGTTTGACATTTGCCACCTTTGGAGAAAATGGCAAGAAGAGACAGTGGAACACAGGACAAAGCTCAAGGAGAACTGCCTGCTATAGAGATTGACAGACCATGTGACTTTTGCGCATTGCATGCCAGGAACTCGTGGCAAAATAATCCAAGTACCTGCATCAAATGCAAGCATTTGCAGCACCGCAAAACGTTCATTCTTCGGTTCCAATAAATTCTTGCTTTTTCTTTGCCGCACAAAAAGGTATGTACAAAACGAAGGAGAACAATGCCGGTCCGTACAAAGACAGACTTGATGAAAAATCAAAGAAAAGATACGAGGAAAAAAATCAAACCAGTGAAAGGGTCAGACCCTTACGAGCACACAGAGGGACAAAATCCTTTAGCGTGCTGTCCAACTTTCACCACGCTCATATTTATAATTATACGGTTCTTGGAGTGAGTGCATACACTCCTGAAGTCTAGTAACTTCAGGTCACTGCAACAAGCCCAGGTACAGTTTACCGACGGATGGGTACAGGACCTTGAAATGCACCGTGTAGAAAGTAAAGACCATCGTACGTATCATAAGTTTACCAGTCTCACAAATCGTCTTCATAAACACACACATTCGTTAACCGTTTATTAATAGGACCTTTGAGCTCAACGGTAATTAATTAGTAGTGGAAATAATTTCTGGTACAGAAATGTAGCAGTGACAATAATACTGTATGCTGTAATCGTACTGGGCAATTAGTGATACAAAACAACTGTTTTATCCTGTGAATAAAAGTATATGTTTTTGTCAATGCACCATAATAACAGAAGCGAAACACAATATTGTGTCAGGACAATTCACTATTTATGCACAATAAATAAAGGAGCATAGCGCCACAATTTCTGTTCAGCGCCAGACTTGCTTGTAACCTATATCACCAATTATGTTAAGAAAAATGACGTATTAACTACTACAAAACTCTGACCTTTGTGTAAATGCTTGGAGCAGACTAACCTGTGAGCTGGAGTGTTCTGGGACGTTATATTTGATCTTTGAATGGCTGCAATCCAGTCGCCTCTTTGTTACTTCGGAAACATGGCTGAACAATTTCTCTTCAACGACGTAATCCGATAACAACCGATCTCTTTACCTGTCGGCTTTCCGTGGCTGTCATGTGACCGGCTATTGCAGTTAATAATACAACAGCTTCTTGACATTTTTGTGTTTCTTTTTATCTCTGTGTAACTGATTTCAATTGAAAGCCTGCGTGCGCTAGTACCTCTTGCCACGAGTTCCCAGAATTCTTTGCGGTTTTACCCATTTTACTGTTGAAGTGAGAGAGGACAACAGAGTGAGAGTAAGTAGAACACAGAGGAGTGCTGTTATTTAATGTGGGAAATCAAAATTTGGGTTAGCAAATCAGGGGAAAAGAAAACTGACTGCTTAAGTTGGAAAATTAAGGAGTCTGAAACACTGCGAAAAAAAAGAAAAGAAACATATATAAAATCACATACACAAGCACAACATGCATTAACCCTACTAACACAAACACAAGAGAGCTTATGAAGATTAGACAACATCTTAAGCGTGAGTCTGTTTATCATCTTATCCAAGTCACCTCGTGTGATGCAAAGACCAGTGGACTCATAGCACATCAGTTAAGAAATGATCAAATAATAGCAGAGAAGTGTGAATGAAAGGCAACTTTAAGAACATGCCCTGCTGGATATGCAGCTCCACAGACATGCATTAAACCTGCCTAATAACACAAACACACATGCAATGAAGATCAGCTTGTTATCTCTCATTAGTGTTAAAATAGTGTAAATTTAACAGACACTTGTTATCAAATACTGAATTTATCCAATGCTGACAATTAACTCTCTAGGTTGCAGGACAACAGTTTAACTTTTGTGGAAAAAAAAAAAAAGATTCTGGTTTGACCAACCAGTGATCAGACAATAAATTTAGTCGTTGATATAGTAAATTAGGAGATGGCGTTTGTCGTCGTTGTTTGTTGTTGAATAAATTCTTTACAAATCCTACCATGTGAATTCATGGATTTTTTTTTCACATTCTGTCTCTCACAGTTGAAGTGTACCTCTGGTGCAAATTACTGACCTCTGTCATCATTTTAGGTGGGGGAACTTGCACAATCGGTGGCTGACTAAATACTTTTTTGCCCCACTGTAGGACGTGTGTTCTGGACTCTATTTCAACACTCAATTGACAGTCACGCTGTCCCCCCCAGCTGTGGAAACACTCCAGTCACTGCATCAGTGTGCTCTAAAGTCACTGGACTGCCCGTCAGATCTCTTGCACAGGTTTTCAGCCAAAGACAGGCAGCCAAAGACTGCCTTAGATAGGCAGCCAAAATCATCAACGACTCCGCTCACATTCTTCACTCCACATTTCAATGGCTCCCCTCTGGGCCACGCCTCCACTGCATTTCCTGCAGGACTGACTCTTTTTATACTGCCGACTCTTTACTCAGTTATTTATTCACCTTTCAGTCACTTTAATTTCAAAACTGTGTAATTTGTGTATATACTGTATATTCTGTGTATTTATTATCTCTTATTGCCTGTTTATGTCCTTCTCTTCAACATCATGCTGCTCTGTTGTATGTTAACTGCCCCTTGGGGATAAAGTCATTCTGATTCAGGTTTCGCCACCACATCTGCTCTGTAATTGCCCAGAAAAACAGAATCTTTGAGTTAATATAAACTTCACATTTGCAAACAACAAGGTCAGAGGAGTAATAAGGCATCCAGCACTGCAGCCACCATTTTGTCATCTGCAGCCACCATTTTGTCACTCCTCATACACTTGAGCAGCCACCGGTCCTGCTGCTAGGTTGATGCTATTCTACAGCCCTATCCACGGCTCCTCACATCTCCTCCACACTTTAGTCTGTGCCTTCTTGTGATAGCACTTATGGATATGTCATCCTGGAGTTGGACTTTCTGTGAAGCCTCAGTGCGATGCAGGGACAGTCTCATGCAGTAGTGGCAAGAATCAGTCAGGAGGGATAAGATCAATGATCTGTGAGAGGAGGGGTTATTCTGTTGCCTCTCATGCACCTGTTGTCACTTTTATTTACACCAAAGCAGGTGAGCTACACTCATCAGTTTCTGCTTCCTAACTGGACAGATTATATTCCTTAAGTTTAACTCTTTGTGTTTTGTTGTGATGCTCCATTATTCATCTCACCTGTTTTGTTCAACATGGATGCTTTCTGAGGACCGATGCTAATAAACATCACCACTCAAAAAAACAAAACCCCATTACATTTTCTTAGAACGAGTTCAAAGGCGGCTGTTGCAGACATGACTGAAAACACTCAGACAAACACAGAGGGTGTTAGGTTCGTTAGATGAACTATATTTAAGACAGAACATATGGTACAAATTACTAATCAGGTAAACCAAAGTTATCCTCAAGGAATAGATGCACAATCAAACAGGTGATCTAAATGCTATATTCCATTCTCATACCACCAACACACAGAGCTATATGAGGTAATACACAGGACGTTGTGCAACATAAAGTCATATAAGAAACTGCAAATAAAAGTGATTCTGGTCCCTGATCATGATGATCCTGCAGTATGGGTTGGTCCCTATGAGCAGCACAATGACAGCTGTGAGTAAACAAACTCTCCCTAAAGTTGCTCTTCTTTCCCTTCAAAGAATTTATTCAAATACATTTAAAAAAAGACAACACCTTTTTATTTATTTTACTCATAGATTATAATAATGTTTGCATCACAACTTCTGTCTCAGCACTCCTGAACCAGGTTTTCACAAAAAATCAGTAGTTGTATCAGCGTCTGCCACACTGGTGGGATCTCATCTACAAATTTCCCAATTTATTTCAGAAACACTGATGACATGTAAACCGATATTTCCACAGATATAAAAGCATGTTTCTGAAATAAATTCAGTTTTTTGTCTTCTTCTTTTTTTTAGTAAATTTTAAGTCAATTACTTACTAAATGTAGGATGTTCACTTCACCTCAAGTTACAGTCATTAATCATTTTAAACACATTAAACTCAAGTCTGATTGATGTGAAGTTTTTTTTTCTTTTTTAAAGCATCTGTATCTATTTTCTATAAAATATAAGTCACAAGCACAAGTAGAAAATAAAAATTGAGACATTCTTGGACAGTCTCTGTGAAGCCTTCATAGAAAATGAAAGTCAGGAGCAGAAATCAGTGGTTGGACTTGGCCTTTGACTAGAAACCCCCCCCATCCCTGCTAGTTTTTCAAAGTTGAAAAATTGAATGTGAGTGCAGAGTGTGCCCCTGTGTCAGCTGAGTCAATGTTAATCCTGGCACCTCCTCTCCAAAGCAGAGCTCAGCCTCTCTCTGGCACTGCCGCATGACTTGAGAACCCCATCGTTCCTGAAGAGTCAAAAAAAAAAGTGCACGTGTGAGGCTGCGGTCTCACTCGTGCAACAGGCTAACACACATTTAAATAGAAATATGAAGTTCAACTAAGTCGAGGTGATGAAAGACTGTTCTACCTGGACAGGAAGATGTGAAGCAGTGAGGCATCGTGCTTAGGGAAGTATTCCTGCTGGACAGCATGTTCCAAACATAGCAGCTGACCCGGGACCAGCAAAGCCTTTTTTGTCTTCCCCTCTCCCTGGAAGTAAAAACAATAAAGAAAGGGCTCACCACATTTAAAACCAACTTACAACCTGGCCATTACAGATTTGCCTGAAAGCTTTCGGCAAAGATCAGCTTTTTAATAGGAATTATGTGAATATGTTAAAATAATAAATAAAAATCTTTTGGGTATGAATGGTGGATGGACTGACCCATAGGGCTGCTCAATTAATCGAATTTTAATCACGATTACGATCTGGGCTTTCAACGATCATGAAAAATGACTGAGCCGATTATTAGCCCCTCCCTCGTGCTTTACTCTCGCGCTGCTCCGAGTGGCAAATTGAGCGCACCTCTCTGCATTTCGAACACGTGTCACAACAATTAAGAGCAGCGGTCCCCAACCTTTTTTGCGCCACGGACCGGTTTATGCCCGACAATATTTTCGTGGACCGGCCTTTAAGGTGTCGGGGATAAATACAACAAAATAAAACTAGTACCGGTACTGAAAAAAGAAGATTTATTCATAACACACGTGAAAAGACCCAGGAAAACTGAGTAAACGATAAAAATGATGACAAAATAATGCTGAAAACTGATAAAAACCCTGAAAACTATACATTTCACACCTGAGCCTCAACTCTCGCGGCCCGGGACCGCTGATTAAGAGGACCCGAGGGAAGCTCGGAAAGCTAAGCAGTAGTGATGTTAAATTTGATTCTTTTTACTGAATCGAGTTTTAATGAGTCACTCACCAAAGTGAATCGGATTTTTTGAGTCATTTGATTCACTGAGTCAGTTGATCAGAGAGTGCAAAAAATTTACATTTTCACTCAAACTTAATTTGTTTCTCTTTTCATGTAAAGCCCACTGCTAAGATGAATGATTCTAAAAAAACAAACAAAAAAAACCCCAACTATTTTATAGAGCAAAAAACAGCAAAAACATTTCTAAAATTAAGCAATTTCCAATCAAAATTGCTAAATAAACATTTATTTTGTTTATTTTTATTTTATTAGTATTTTCCTTAAATGTGTTAAATATATATTTTCTCATCTAAATGTCCACTGAGCTGTGAGCCAGGGGGCGGTAATGCGCCTTAAAGAACAAGAAGAAGCTGTGAGCCAGGAGGGAGGGGGTGATTTGTTTGCTCGCTCTATGATTCAGCACAGGAGGGGGTTCAGAGCAGAAATGCTTTTGTTAGGAAACTGGCTGTTTCCCCCCCCCAATTTTAATTATAAGCTAGATATATTTCTACTAAGCGAATTAGTTTGCTAACAGAAACAGGGATGAGTCAGTGAGTCAGTTGGGCTTGTGAATCATGATTCACGAGTCAGTAAAGTGATTCTCGAGTATTGAACGATTCGTTCACGAATCCAACATCACTACTAAGCAGAAGTTATTTGGAGAGGAGAGTGACTGCCATTGGTTGAAAAGAGAGGTAAAAAAAAAACCTTCAGTGGTGTGGAAACATTAGGGGTTCGCGGAGTCAGACGTGGATCAAGTAGACATAGTGTGTAAACTTTGCTACAGTGCCGTAGCTGCACCACAGAGCAACACTGCAAAGTTCACTATACATAGATGTTTACATTTTTCATTTATTTTTTATATTGCAAACATTTGCACTGTTATCAGTATTTGCACACTATTTTATATTATTTTTGACAATCTTTAAAGTCATTATTCAATACATTGTTATTGTTAAATAAATATCGTCAAATAATCGAGATCTCAATTTCAGTGAAAATAATCGTGATTATCGTTTTTGCCATAATCGAGCAGCCCTACTGACCCATATATAGATAGTATCAATACCAATGCTGGTATTGGATCAATACTAGCATGACAGGATCAATACTTTGTTTTTAACCACCAAGTTCAGTATAAAACCCTCTTCATGTTATTATTACTTTTTTCCAGTAATAATAAAATATAAAAAAATATTCTTCAAACATGCACAATGAAAAATGTCTGAACCTTTTTGTGTTGACTGTCACATCTGTTTGATTTATAACCTATATAACATTTAAACAACACAAGACGACCAAAAACTGCTTTAGAGATAGACACATTTAAAGTCCAGGTCTCCAAAAATCCCAGTTTTAAAATACATAAACAGCTGAAAGGTGTGTTTTGTTGTATTAACTAATTATTTTGAAAAGTAAAACTCAGTGATTTAGTGGTCATTAAATGTGTTCAGAATTTGCAAATTGATGATTATTGATCTCAGAACTCATGAGACACTGCTCTCCCCACACAAGCTGCCTTTACAAGTTAAAAGTATCAGCATCATCAATACTTACCTTGTATTTACTCGGTATTGGATCAATCACACAGTACTAGTAAATATCAAGTATTATGGCTCTCTTAAGATAAATTCTGAGATATAACAGAATTATGGATCGCTGAAGTTCCTTAAATATTTGGATGTCTAATCTCTGCCAGCAGATTTGGAGCCCTGCTGAACCTATTCTGTGCATATAAATGACTGATATTGTGTTTATAGTTTCTCGTGAAGTGTTACATAATAGGAAGCACTGCAGCGAAGCTTTACCTTGAGTAGTCCCATCATGACCAGCAGTGTGGAGAGGAAGCAGTATGACTGGAGGGTGGAGCCAGAGAGGAGCTTCTTCAACATTGCATCTGTGGAGCGCAGTGACACACTGCATGTCAGAATCTCAGAGAATAGAAGCTATCCACATGAAAAAGAGGACAGCACAAGAGAGAAACTGCACCTTGACGTCCTCACTAATAAGCAGCCCACTCAGTGCAATTACATTTGAGTAATCTCTGCATGCCAAAGCTTTGAAAAGGGTGTGCTGTGTTGCATTTCAATGTTTGACTATAAAGTGACAGAGGACCTAATTTGGTTGTTCTCATTAATTAGTCATATATAAACTGTTCCAATGATGCCTGCTCATATTAAAAGTTTCAAACAATGACAGCAGTGTCTGTGCTGATGATCCTTGTATGTTAAAAGCTCAGACTTCAGTTTTCCTACTTTTGGCTCTTTATGCAGTCATCTCAATCAATCATGGTCATCTCAGACACACAGCTGTAGCTGTGAGCAGAAAAGCTCCACCTGCTGTTTAATCCTTTTGTTTGTGAGGGGCAGCCAATCAGAAGAAAGTTGGCTTAAATTAAGAGGAGCTTGTTTTTGATGAACTGAGAGGTGGCACCAAGGTCCAATATAAGACAAATAAGGATTATTTTGAACTTTGAATCCTGCAAATGTGGGACTAATGAGGAGCAGAATCAGTCTAATGTAAGTGTGACTTTATTCACCGATAGTATCCAGAACAGCGGCCTTGGTCTCCGGATCTTCACTATATAGGGAACCGATTTTCAGAATGACATCAGCAGCTTTCTGTGGCTCAGATGCATCGACCTGGTGAGAAGACAGCAACAGGTTAAACCCATTCCAGCAAAGTAAAACACGCCAACACCAACATGCTACAAACACTTACTACTGACTACTTAAAAACATGTAACCTCTTGCTGAAGGTGTGTCCTCAACTGTCCCAGCTGGAGAAGCTGTTCTGCAGAGGGGCAGCTGAGGAACGACGTGATCTCCGCCTGTGGACGAACATCGAGACATCACTGAGAACTCTTTTCATTTCCCAGTTTATGTGAAGTAACTAACTGATCAACAATCACATGAAAGCAACTGTTCGTCTAATAAAGCTTCAACTTACAGGACTGTTAGGCGAAACAGGACTATTTCCATTTGTTGTTATGCCGTTTTCACTGCCCTCTTCATTCTCTTCATTGCAGTCATCACTGACATCATCATCATCATTGTCGTCATCATCATCGTTTCCACTGTCATCTTCATCACCCTCATCTCCCTCATCATCACTGTAGCAGTGAAAATTTTAAATCTATTGTTTGCATGTTTGTGCAGTTAAACACTAAAAATGATTATGGATTTTTAAAGCCTGCGTTACCTGAGTGACTCGAGCACGTCTCCTTTGTTCATGTTCTCCATAGCCTCTCTCAAAGCCTCACAGCCCTCCTCTCCAAGACAGTTACCTATCAGCCACAAACAAAACCAGTTTCAAACTAAAAATGTCTTTTTATTTTACATTTCTGCAGCATTGTTCAATCAACCTGGACCTTCTTTCTCCAAACACATAAAGACCCATTTCATGGTCAATGTGCATACCGTTCAGATCCAATTTCTCCATATCAGCTTTGTCTGCAACAGCCTGAGCCACCACTAGTGCTGCTGCTTCAGTGATCTCACCAAATGACAGATTAAGCTCCTGGAAAAAAAGTTGCATGAGAGAGCACTGTGAGATGGAAGAGACACAAAGGGAAACCAAGTCCTGAGCTGCGATCGTACACTGACCTTGAGGATTGGCAGTCCTTCTCTCAGGACTGCAGCGAGGGCGACAGCTCCCTCAGAACGGACCAGACAGTCACCAAAATTGATCACTTGGATGTTCCTGAGATGCCTCAGAGCCTATAAGGCCAAGTGAATTCGGGGACACAGTCAAACACCGGATAAAGGTCCTCTCTGCTTACAGAAAGTTGCTGAAAAAAAAAAAAAAAGGATCTCACCTGTGCCATGGGCAGCGAGCCCTTCTTGGTGAAAGTGTTGTCATTGAGGTTGAGGACTCGAAGCTCTGGGTTATGTCGAATGGCTGAAGCTAACGCCATCACACCTGAGTAGTTTATTCCATTCTGGGGCATGTGAATCTCTTCAAGGCTGCCCATCAGCTGTTGTGAAAGCGAGGAAGAAACTGCATCATAAAACAGAAATGGTCTTTGTTCCTCCCAAATCAAAAGTCCATAATATCATTACATTTACTACACGTCACATTTACGGTAATGTAAAACTGAACAAGGTGGGAGTATTTTGTACCTGAAAGGCCTTAGCCAAGGCGCTAGCTCCTTCATTTTCCAGGCGGTTCCTCCCTGCTATAAACACTCTTAGTCTAAGTGGAGCTCCAAGAGACGATGACTGTCTGTGGCACTCAATCAGGGCTTCAGCCAAGATCTATATTAAACATACAAACATGGATGCTGTTAGAACTATAATGCAAATACACAATAAAGTGTTACATTTTTAAAAATCTGTTAACTACATTAAAAAGCCAACATTTACGTACATAATTTGAGCCTGTGCCTCTGTACACAACCATAGCAAATTTAAAACAAGACAATCAGGGTGTGATTGATGGGCAACTAACATAAATAAATGTGTGTCTTTGTCTATATATTATTTGACAAAGCTGTTTGAGAGCTCACCTTTCCTCCACCAATCCCCATACCACAATTGTTGAGCTTTAGCTCCCTCATGGTGTGGCAGGAGGGGCTCTTAAGCAGCTGCTCGATTCCTTTGACACCATCTGGCCCAAAAGCATTATCACTCAGGTCCAGCTCAGTCAGCCTGGCCCCTGCACTCAATATTGCACTCCCCATGGACCTCTGAAGCACAAGAATAGACAAAAATACAGAACAGTATAAAGCACATTAGATTGTGCATGTATGAACACAAGAAAATTTCAGGAAGCGTAAAAGAACATCAACATTCATACACAGAAAACTGATGTGATATCCCTTTCACGCATAGTGGTCACTACAGTGGACAGCTATTCAAAGGCTGTTTTCTTGTATTTGTGTCAGTGCTGATTGCACATAAACCACCACTACGTTGGACACTGATGTGTCACTTCATACCCTTCCATCATACCCTTGAGTGACATGCAAAAAAAAAAAACTCTTTGAAAAGTACATGTTTAAAAAAATTAAGTTCAAAAACCTTTTTTTCATGCCTAAAGATGAATAAAAATACTAAAAAACCCTGATTGAGGTTTTCATAATTCATGCATGAAAGGAATATTTAACAGTTCAAGAGTATGAAAGAGGATGGATTCTTCCTTTTATTGGGGGTGTAACTCAGTGGCTTCTCACCAGGGCTGGTGGGATTTCAGAGCGTAGTCTTCCAGTGAACATGTCACTCCAGTAGCATCTCTGAAAGACACCAAAAATGGGAACAGTTAACAGAATGTATCACACTGCAGGAGAGTGTAAAGTATAAATGCTGTTGGAATGTAACAGTATTGTATATTCAAGATGGAAGAATTTTGATGAAATATTTCAACTAAACAAAACTGGTTGTAGTTTGAAACGCACTTGAAATATTAGATTACTAAGACAAATAATCTGAAAAGGTTTTTTACTAACAATCAAATCCTAATGATAAATGATCCTTTACTATGATGGGAAATGGTGAACTATGAAAGCACCTGAAGCATGTCTTTGTTCTCCAGAGCCTTTGCAATGGCTTGGGCAGCTTCAACTCCCAGAGTGTTTCCTTCTAGGCGTAGAGCTCTCAAACCCTGGTACTGCTTGATGTCTCGGGCCAGCTGCTCCGCTGAAAGCACAGGGATCAATTTGTCAGATTTAAGCAGTCAACAAGGATCACCTTCATGTCTACAGCACACACAAGGGAATAACAGCAAAAAAAAAAATAAAAAAAAATAGAGCTACATATTCTCACCTGATTCTGCATTGTCAAGCTTCAGTCCAAGGCCTTTGTAGCTCAACTCTCCATCACCAACATGGGTCTTAGAGAGAGCATCAGCCAGCTGAGCAATGTCATCTGAAGCCATAGTGACTCTAGAAACATCCACAAATTACGGAGAAGGGAAAAGTGACACATTTTATAAGCTTATCCAGCAACATAAATAAGAATAAATGCAAGCGCAGACACAAAAAAGCCAAATGCTGTTCAGTAAGAGTTAAGAACATTCAGCGTTACAGAAACGTCAAAAAAGTACTGTCAACAACCAAGTTAGCTATTTAGCTGTTCTGTGCTAACTAGTAGTAGTGCGCAACAAGATAAACGCTGACTAAACTAAACTACACTAAACTGAGCGTTTTTTCTGTCTGTTTGAGGAAAATCATCTTGTCTATGAGACACACGACTGTCTTCAAAACGCAGACGACTTTTCAAACTAGAGAAGCTTACCAAATGGTAAATAAAGCGACAACACGCCGCTTCTTCCGCGCGCCGGTTGCTAAATGCCGTGACGTCACGCTGCCTGGATTTTTTTTTCTTCGTGGATTTTGTCAGCGTCTGAGTATTATCGCCACCTGCTGTTTTCCTCTTGTCTCTGCCGTTTGAGGCCTCGGTTTGAGTTTGAGCGTTGTCTTTTCTTCTCTATGCTTAAACCAGTAAATGAAGATTGTTTTTACCAATGAAAAAAAGCCTTCCACGAGTCAAACGTTCAGGTTATTATATCAAAATTCCAATATTGGCACAAAAATTGAGTTGGTGAGGCAATTTTTATTTTCCAAGTGGTGGAAACACGCTTGTTAAAGATTAAATGTAATTCAATATTTGAAAGAGTAAACAATAGCTGAAAATGTTCTTTGTTTCTACAAAGAAGTTCAAAAACTCACAGGACAGGCTTTGGAATTGGCTGGTGTCCTGACTCATTCACGTTATAACTAATAGGGTTGCTTTGTGAGTCAATGTGGAGAAGCTTTCGGTAGGCCCGGGAGCTCCTCACAGGATAAAGAAGGTGACCCACGTAGGCAGACCTCTGTCCCCTTCATGCCAAAATGTAAAGGCCCGCACAGACAGAGACAGCTAAGAACAAAAATAATGACTCCAAATGTCTAGGTGAACCCTTTAATGAGCTGTGATGACATCACGAGCATGACCTCATGCTGGACAAAATAGTCCATGAGACCAAAATGTATTGAAATTAAAAAAAAAAAAATATATATATATATGTATTTTATGTATGACGATATGTGTTTATTAATTTGACGCATATAGTTCTTTATATTTGGTCCAACCCAATCAGGTCACCCATATCAGAGGAAAACCCGTGTATTCCTTCTGTGTTTCTTGATTTGTAGCATTTTACTTAATTTGTAAGATGCACAACTTATTATTATTAATGAATTGTGCATAAAGACTAAAGTTTTTTTCTTCTTCACGTAATTAATAAATTAAAATATTAATGATGAAGAAGTCCGGGTACATGATATACGGTAGTATGCAAAAGTCCTGACCTACTCTTATCTCTTTAAAGAGTAAATAAGAAGAAATTCTCTAGAGAAATGAGAACAAGTTATATGTCGTATTCAGCTAGCAACAAAGTAACTAAAGGTACAATTTAAAATAGGTTCTTTGCTACATTGTCTGTTATGTGTTGACAAATCTAACTCTTCTCTTGAGTTTGTTGCCTTTAGTACGCTTGAATGATTCACAGGTCAGTGTTAAATGGGTTAACAAACAAATATAGTGTTCCTCTGAAAATGGTCAGCTGCAAGTACTGAACTGGAAATGAGTGATAAAGCAGTGAATGAAGGATCACTGATTACTCGTTACAAGAAGATCTAGTTCCTGGAAGGAAATGCAAAGATATAAGGGGTGGCTCAAGACTTCTGCACATAACATCGTAGGGGAACGGTAGTAATTTACCAACACACACAGTTTGACACAGTTTTTGCTGCCCTCCTGCGGTCATAGGTCTCTTGTGTCTGGATACTTGTTGCCATACTGCACTGGCCATAACAGCTAGCAGCGGTAGCCAGTAGTTGAGTTGTATCTACCAGCAGCCGTAGCAATAGCTGGAAAAGTCGCTCCGTCCACACACCAATGACAGGAACACTAAACGTAAAAATATGCGCAAGGTTATGTATTGATAATTGGCTGCTTTTTCTCATCGTTATCGCCAACGCTGCATGAAGGTATCTGTGATTTTGAAAAGCGCAGCAACTGAACTCGGTGAGTTGCCGTGCTCTGTCTGGACAGGGTTTAGCTGTTAGCTTTAGCTCCACTAGTAAATGAAGTCAGCTTACTTACCCGGTAGCTAGGTAACTCTGCTTTCGTCCAATGCCCCTTTATGTGTGTCATCTTAACTAGCTAAACGAGACTGTACGATGCGAGTGACTTCTATAGGAATTAAACAGTTTTCAAAGCTCCCTTTGCTTTTCTCCTCTTTACTACGGCTAAGTTACAGTGATTAGCATGTAGCCGAATTAGCTAGTTTCATCCACTGGCTAATCCCAAATATCGGTAGAAACACTCATGTAGTGGTTTTCAGCGTTAACTGCATTAGTAGCTGACCCGACTAAAGCTGCATGTCTTATATATATTCTTATCTGATGGTGCAACATTCAGTACGAGCTGAGAAACACGTTCACATGACACGCTAACGTTAGCTATCCTCATCATAGTCCCAACATTGTTTTGGTTGTCGTTGAAAACATCTACGGGGCGTTTAAATGCCCCCCTTTAAAGAATGTCCGCAGTTTTTACGTCGATTAATGTTATTTCTTGCGTAGAGTCTCATTCCCCGGTTACGCTAAATGTTCACCCCACTAACATCAATTATGGCAGGCTTCACCGTGAGCTGACCCCGCTGTTTGTCTAGCATGTTGTAGTGCCAGGCCTTGGCGTAGGACGGGACACAGATGTGTAGCAAAGAGCGATGCTTAGGCTGCCGCTGTCAAAGCTGTAAACATTGTTGTTCAGAAAAAAACAAAACAAAAATAGGTGCAAGTCAATCTTGTCTTCACATTTAGGATATGGATCCTGAACGGCAGAAACGAAGAGAGGAGATTCAGAAGGCCATGAGCTTTATCCAGTAAGAGAGAAATATCTGGAGACCACCAGTGATTTCATACCAAAGTATATAAATTTTGCACGTGTAGATGTTTGACACCTCTCCTTTCCTATCCATAGGTCTTCATTGCCTTTCCCAGAGCCAGAGAGTTATGAGGTATGTGTTGATCTGGTTTATGCTTTTTTTGGAGCTTCATTATCACCATTTTGTTTATGTAATATTTACACGCAGACTGCCACATGACAGTACCCACATTTTGTTCTAATTTTACCCAGGCCAAGGTGTAAACTTGAGTTCAGACATTTTTTAATTTTGTCCTCAGTCTGTTACGCATTCCTCTTCTTATTCCACATTCGTTTACTTTTCTTTCTGTCTAATATTGCCTGTCTTTTTTTTTTTGTTTATGTCTCCTCATTTCAATGCTCATTCAATCATTTTACCCACTTCTTACACATCCCTTTCAGGCATTTCTCACTCAGTTGGTGTGTAACTTGCTGGATGAAGGGAATTCTTGTTTTCGGGATGGAGACTGGCATCAAGCGACCCAGCAGTATGGAGAGGGGATCAGTGTTGCTCGCTACGCCCAGGCTGAGGCTCTCGTCATCCCCCATGAGCTGCTCGAGAGCCTCTACGTCAACAGGGCTGCTGCCTACTACCAGATGGTGAGAAAGAATGGGAGTGGGATGGATGTGTTACCTCCCAAAGTACTTAAAGATGTGTTCATGTGGAAGACTCGAAATCTGTATAGAGTGAAGTCTCAAGTAAACCTGTAGATACAAGTTTCAAGATTGGTGTAGAATTATCATTACATGTAATTGTACCTTATTAAATCACCTTTGGTGGAGGTATAGGTTATAACTTTTCCTGTGTTTTTCTGACTCAGAGGGAGTACGATCGCGGCGTTCAGGACTGTGACAGCGCACTGTGTGTGTCAGAAGGAAGTCGCAGGGCTCTGTACCGCAAAGCGCTCTGTCTGAGGGAGATGGGACAACTCAGAGAGGCTTACACATGTGGAACCAAATGTCTCCTCACAGCACCAAATGTATGCCACCACTTAAAACAAAGACTTATCATTTAATTTTGAAGCGGAATGGAATACTGTGTGAATATTGTGCTACTGATATGATAACTTCATGGCTTTTACCTATTCTGAGCATCTTTTTTTTTTTTTTAATAATTAATCTTCCAGGACAGACAGGTGAGTGATCTGGCTCAGGATCTAGCCAACAAACTGGGACTAAAGGGTCGTAAGGCCTACGTCAGCCCACAAACGGAGTCTACGGCCACTGAAGGTGACAGTCATGGAGAGACTTCCACACCCACTGGAGAGGTACGTGCTGCTGTCACTGTGTAAAGTTTGTAATATAATGAAGTGGCTGAGTGAGAGCCTGATGGGTTCCTCTTTTCTTTAGATGTCCTCCAATGGAATTGAATCTCTGGGTGACATTGCACCAGGTATGTCAGGCTGCCACATGTTGAACTTACCTGCTCATCCCCAGCCCCACTTGTTTCTGACAGTTATGTTCTTATTTCTCCTCCCCAGCAGACATCTCCAGCGCACAGTGCATCCCCGCTCCTTTGGCTACTCCTATTCCAGTCAGCGATGACCCAACGACCACTGTGGTAACCTCGTGCACTGACCTCTCAGAGAGCCCCAGCAGCCAGGTGCCTCCCATGCAGTACTCGGTCCCGGTGTCAGAGCACATGGATGAATGCAGCAGTAGTGTTATTAAGGATGAGCTAGACAGCTTGTTAGAATCCATCCCCAAGAAAGTCAGTGAGGTGAGTGCAGGAAAAAACGATATGACTTGGCACTGTCACTAAACTGGACAGTATTTCTAACCCTTTTATTTCACCAGGAATGATCTAAACTCAGCATATTCCTGTGTCTCCTCCAGACTCCAGTGGGTGCTATTCCCACAAACCTGCCCAACACAGCAGTTGGTCTCCGGCCTCCTTACTCACCCAGCCTTCCAGCCCCTTCATCCCAGCTTTCCCAAGCCTTTTTTAGCTCTTCAATCAGCGACATTCCTCCTCTGGAAGCTTACTCGTCGCTGCGGGACCAGGGCTCCACCCAGGCGCAGGACGCACTGGGAGGCTTTTCCACGACGTCTATGGAAGGAGAAGGGAAGGCAGGAGTCGCCGCTGGGGGACTCGACTCATTGTCAGAGTACACTCTCCCTGGTGAGCGGAAAGGGAAAGTTTTCATGAATGGTTTGCTGCTTGACAACACATGTTGATCTAAGTAAAAAACTTTTGTGAAGAAAAAGCATTTAAGGGTTTAAAATAAATTGCACATGGAATGCTTATGTGCATAAGGATGCTTATGCAGTTTAGGATCTGATGGTTTGCACTTAAAATGACTTAGTGCAGCTGCAGGAATGAAAGTGTGTCGATAAGCATGCCAACTGTGATTTAAGTACAGTATAGACGATATTACCCCATACCAATAGGATGCACATTAATTAAATTTGACCCAGTACAATGATTTTAAGTAGAGATGGACCGATCCGATATTACGTATCGGTATCGGTCCGATACTGACCTAAATTACTGGATCGGATATCGGAGAAAAATAAAAAATGTAATCCGATCCATTAAATATCACGAAAGCACCTCACAAAACTTGCAACACGCCGTAACCCACCTCAGAACGTTAGCACGTCGGAGCAGTATGCATCACGTGATAGAGCGGCTGTGGCATGCGGGACCTGTCGGTGGTCTGGATAGCATGTGGAGCTTCGCTAGCAACCTGGCATTTCATCTCCGACAAAGTTATCCCCGAGAGAAGTAAAGCAAGTGTGTAAGTCCATCTCTGAATGTTTGTAAAGCATTCCTGCGTTAATCTTAACGAGCGACTGCCTCTCGCTCTCCGGCTGCTACTTCAATCGTGAAACTGCTTAAATGATCAGCTGATCGGCTTTTCTGTCGTGAGTCCGTCTCTCTTGTTTGTTTTTGGCCCACTTTGCGCCATAAAGAGGAAACCAGCGGCTGAACAACAGCAGCACGTTTAAGCTTGATAAGCTGTTGTTAGAATGTATTTAATATTTCTTTCTACACCAGGATCTTTTTCTACGTAGCTGACGGCTGGTAACTGTGCAGGGGCGGATCTAGCAAAGCTTAGCCAGGGGGGCCGATAGGGCATTAACAGGGAAAAGGGGGCACAAAGACATACTTTTCTTTCTTATTCTCATTTAAAATGTCGAGCTTTTAATAAATAATTATCTGACACCCAAAGTTTTAATTTGATGTAAAATGAATAGAAGTCAATTACTGTATATAGTAACTATTAAGTCTAATATATATACCCTAGTAAGCTATAGTACTTTTTACTTTGGGAAGGTACCATCTGTGCAGTCTGCAATTTTGTTGAAGAAAGATGTTGAATCTATTTAATATTTCTTGAAAAATAATTGATTTCTGTGCATTTTTTTTCACACTGCATCAAATTAAGGTTGATTACGTTGATTAAGCATCATGAGGTGGAGCGTGAGGGGTGGTTCCCTATTTTTTATTTATTTATTTTTGTTGTTGCTGGGAGTTGGAACCCTATTAGTTAGGTTGCTTAATATTTATGCTAAGTACTCTTTAAAATACCAGAATAGGGAGGATGGTGTAGGTCTAAGTTTATTAGATTGATCAGTATTGCTGAACTATGAAATATTTTTTTTGTATACAGGTATAACAGAATAGCTTTAGTGTAGTTGTTGTTTTAAACTTGAGTATGAACTTGCAGACTTGCAAAATGCAGCAAGATATTTTAAAAAACAGTTTTGTTGATTAAAAAACACTATATCGGATTCATATCGGTATCGGCAGATATCCAAATTTATGATATCGGTATCGGACATAAAAAAGTGGTATCGTGCCATCTCTAATTTTAAGTTGCTTATCTGCCAGAGCACAGTTTCTAGGGAGCTGGCTTTAACCTGAGATATGCATCATCAGCAGACGGTGTGAGTCAGCAACAATACAATGTGAAGTCTGACATCAGTGTCCTTGTCTGTGTTCTTCAGGGGGACGAGTGTGTCACAGCTTCATTCCTGGAATGCGCAACCACAGTGCACATGCAGTAAGCAAAACACACATATCTGTTACAAGAAATCCATTTTATTTTTTAGTTGTTTATTTACATTGTCTTTCTTTTATATCACATCTCTTTCTACTCTTCTTTTTCAGAATGGTCCAGCAGGGACCAACCTGTCTCTGCTCTCCAGGAATCCTCTGGCTGCCACACACGAGTTTCGGCAGGCCTGTCATGCCTGTTACAGCAGAATAGGTTTGTATTACCAGCCTTTGACATGCTGTCCTTTGTCCTGAATTTTCTGAATGTTCACAGTAGGGTGTTGCAGCATCACTGTGTCTAATGTATGAATTGCCGTACATTTCTTGGGGAATTTTTAACTTAGTTGCTGACAAGATGTTAACAGAAGACCACTTATTGCTCTTTTTGAAATAATCAGTATCTAACTATTTCTTCCTCCTACTCAGGTCCACGAGTGATGGACTATAAGTATCAGCCAGAGGCAGCACATCGCTGTAAAAGAGATGTGCTGCTGTGTCGTCTCAAAAATTCAGACGACCCCACCTGGAAGAGGATTCGGCCCCGGCCTGCACGGAACAATTTCCTGGGGGCTTTTGTACTCTGTAAGGGTATGTTTCCCGTGGGGAGTTAACGCTGGAATATGTAATCTATCAGATACACATTTGATCACCATTACATTTATATTCTGTTGAGTATTCTCTCTCTGCCTGGTCCCACAGAGGTACAGGAGCGTCAGGAGTGCCAGTATGGGGAGAACTGCACGTTTGCGTACTGCCAGGAGGAGATCGATGTGTGGACTCAGGAGAGGAAAGGCGCTCTGAGTCGAGAGCTGCTGTTTGATCCTCTGGGCAGCACAGAGAGGCGGGCACTGAGTGTCACCAGACTTCTGCAGCTCCACATGGGCATGTTCATGTTCCTCTGTGAGGTCAGACCACAGTCTGCTATACATTTCCTCTTTAGATTCTTTGGCGTTTGTAAAAGTGGAAATGGATCTTCACTCGTCTGCCTTAACTTTCTTTCTTAACAGGAATGCTTTGACAGTAAACCTCGCATCATCAGCAAACGCAGCAAAGAAAACTTGGCGGTCTGTTCAAATCTCACAGCTCGACACCCGTTTGACGATAACAAGTGAGTGTAACAGGTTTACCGTGTCTTCACTTTGCTGAAGTAACTGGTTTTCTAATCAGTTTAGCTTTTTCTAATAAAATTCTGATTGATTTTTTTCTTTAAGTAGTAAAAGCTGGTCACTGTACAGAAAAGAGACAAGTGTGTCATCGTGTGCTTTAATCTTACTTTCTCCTGCAGGTGCCTGGTGCATGTGGTAAGGTCAGCCAATGTGCGATACAGTAAGGTGCGTCCTCTTCACCCTCTCTGCCAGTTTGATATTTGTCGGCATGAAGTTCGCTATGGGTGCCAGCGTGAGGACAGTTGCTCCTTTGCGCACTCTGTCATAGAGCTCAAATGCTGGGTTCTGCAGCAGGACACAGGTAGGTAGAAACCAGACTCAGCTGCAATTTTAATTTGTTCAAGATATTAAATGTAATCCAGTAAACAGTCATTAATAATAGCGCCCACTCTTGACAAATGTCTGACATATTTGAATGTTATGGAAAAGCAGCTGTTGTAAACACAATGACAATCAGCACTAACCAGCAGTTATTAACTGAGCATCAAATAAAGATGCTTTCACTGAGCTGTGACAAACATTTCCTGTAGGTATCACCCATGAAGAGATGGTGCAAGAGTCCAAGAGGCACTGGCAACGACTGGAGCAGAATGCACAGAAGCAGCAGAAGGTGAGGCTGTAAAAGCCCCTGAGACATTTGGATACATTTTGGGTGATCACAGTCCTTAAAAAGTTTTAAATGTCTTTAAATACATGGTAAAAAAAATTAGAGGAACACTTTGAAACCATGTTAGATCTTAATGGGGGAAAAAAATCCTGTTGGATATCTACGCTGATATGCACTGGGTAATGTGTTAGGAATTAAACAATGCCACATCATTTGATACATGCAGCCCGACACTGTAGGGGCATGCTCCTAATGAGAAGATGGATGATGGGCGAGGGCATCTGTGAGCTCCTCTGCAGAGTCTAAAGTTCAGGCTGGCAGTGCGAGATGGACCGAAACATAATATCCCAGACGTGTCTGCTTGGATTTAGTTCAGACGAAGAAACTGCACCAGGGTAGGGTCTGAAAGTGAATCCAAGGAATTCATCCTCATACCTGAATTCTGTTGAGTTCTGTGTGTTTCTTCATGGATATGTCTCCTTAGACCATCACTAACCCACCAACAGACCTTTAATTCTAAACGATGATACAGGGAGGATAATCTTCTCCACTGCTTCTCCAGACCCTTTCATGTTTGGGACATGTGCTGATTGTTTGGTGAAAGATATTTACACCAGAGTCCTCCTGTAGGTCATTTTGTAGCTCTGGCAGTTTTCGTCCTGTTCCTTCTTGCACAAAAGAGCAGATGCCGGTCCTAGTGATGGGTCAAGGAGCTTCTATGGCCCTGTCCAGCTCTCCCACTGTAACTGCCTACTTCTTGGAAACTCCTCTATGCTCTCGAGACTGTGCTGGGAGAAACGGCAAACTTTCTGGCAATGATGATGTGCTATCCTGAAGGAGTTGGACCACCTGTGCAATTTCTGTAGGATCCAGATATCGCCTCATGCTACCAGTATTGATTTTATTTAATATTTATTTAATTTAATTTATCTAAAACTGGGCACAAGAAACTGTTGTATTTGGTGGTTAGAACTGGTGCTTTAATTCGTCGCTCATACGCTCTAGAAGTGATTTTTCCGTTGCACATTGCTTTGAAGTTGACAGCTGGTCTATTGCAGATACTCCAGGGTCTGGTTGCCTAGGTGACCCTGTAATGTATTTACTACTACGTTATGCAATGGTATTCTTCCCTCTCATTGGTAATCACTTCAGTTGCTTGCCTGGAAGTTGAGAAAAGTTTTTCTTGGGTTTCGCCCAGTTTTTGTCACCAATGGTTATTTTGTCCGAAGTCACTTAACGACGTTGAATATCATTCACTTTCTCTTCCAATGTGTACAATGTCTAAGACTCCTGGTTAGACCCAAAATTGGATAAATGTCTTTAAGTTTGTGCATTTTGTAGCTTTCTAGGGGTAATGCAGGAATTCATTCCTCTGTTTTCTCATATTTAATGAATGAATTTGTTTTGTTTCAGCCCATCCATATACCCCATCCAAGCAGCAGTGTTCCTGTAGGAGGGCTTGGGGGAATGGGTGGCGGTGGTGGAGTAGGAGTAGGAGGAGATTGCATAGGTGGCAGTGGTGTGAGCCCAGTGGGTGGGTTAGGAGCAGGAAGAGGTCGCCCCCTCAACCTGAAAATGAAGTTTGTGTGTGGTCAGTGCTGGAGAGAAGGTCAGGTCAACGAGCCGGACAAGAACCTCAAGTACTGTACTGCCAAGGCACGGCACAGGTGAGGCCCCATTCACACATGCACACGTGCTGACTGTGTTTTCTCAGGTGGTCTAGCAAGTTTGATGACTTTATGTCACGGTATCTTTAAGGCTCCCATGTTTGCTCTCTGTTTCTTCAGCTGGACGAAAGAACGCCGGGTGTTGCTGGTAAAGTCATTTGAGAAGAAGAAGTGGGTTGTTGTTCGGCCTCTTCCCTTCTCCCGCACCTATCCACAGCAATATGACGTGAGTTCCTCTGTTTTTCTTTCCTCTTCAGTTCATGTTTACTCCACCCTCTTTCTGCCCCTCCACCTTTCACATGTAGAATCCAGCTGACTGGTTTTGCCTCGGGGCACAGCCGTTTTTGTAACTCACAAACTTGAATCTTTGCTTTACATATTTCACCCAGATGTGCGTGCACGTGATGAAGCAGAAGAAGTGCCACTATATTGGGAACTGCTCTTTTGCCCACAGTCTTGAGGAGAGGGACGTCTGGACGTACATGAAAAACAACAGCTGTAAGCTTCTGGTTCAGCCTAGGACAACTGTACTGAGATCAGGCCATTAAGAGCTTGTAAATATACAAAGGCAGCAGTGTGCGAGCTCCACCTTACACTTTCATATGTGGATTAAGTGATTCAGGTTGGAGTTTGTCATGTGAAAAAGTCAAATGGAGACGGGGACAAATAAACATTTAATCCCTTTAAGGATTAGGTTCTTTATCCAATAAAAACACTATTGTTGTGTTGGGAAAAGTGCACCCTTCACTCTAAAAAGAAGTATTGCAGCCTTTAGCTGCACATAACAATGACAATACTACTAAGACTATATTATGCAAAATGACTTCATTTGCATGGGATTTGAATTTGGGCTTATTCCCTTATCCACCAGCGTCCCTTATTGAGCCATGGTGGGTTAGTTAGTGTAGTAATGAGAGATCCAACATTCAGACCTCACATTAACTTCAAGAGCTCTTTGATGTGATGTAGAATTTGTTGTTTATTCAATAACTGCAGCCCTGCGGCTGCTGACAAACCTCAAACCATAACATTTCCACCCCCATGCTGCTTCTGAGAACTAGACTTCTGCAGGTCCTTGAATTTTGTTTTATTAGATCGTCTGAATGTAAGACCCTAAATGTGCAGTACAATGCAGTCAGGTTTCCAAAATTGTTTGGATTATGGAATTAGGTTACTTATCTAAAGGAGGTATAACTCCATTAACTTCTATTTGTTTGTTGTTTTGAGTTCATCCCACTGTAACAAAACCGAGCCGGGGCAGACTGTCCAGACCCTAAATGGCTGGATCTTCTCATTCTTTTCCTTTTTTAAATCAATTTAATGGATATTTATATGCAAGATGCACTTTTCATGAAAACAAAACAAACAGGTTTATCTGTAGTCACTATTATAAAGATAATGCTAAAAAAAACAGACACTATTTTCCACTTAGTTTGGGGAAAAATACTACATTAGTGAAAACGGGCTTTGTTTAGCTGGATCTGTTTTTAATTTTCTTATCATGCTCTCATATCCACCGTCCCTTTGTCCTCAACTGCAGCCACTATAAAAGCCTCTAATTCTTTTCTTTTTTGTATTCCATTTGCACTGACTGTTTCTGATTATCATCTTCAAGGTTACTGATATTATCATAATTTTCCGTCTTCCCTCGATCCTTTTAGTGAGAGACATGCAGCAGATGTATGAACTGTGGCTGCAGCTCACCAATCAGAGCAGACGCTCAGATAACTCTGCTGTGACCCCGCCCCCAGAAGACAAGCAGGTCACCATAACAGCAGATTACACAGAAGCCATGGTGAGTGTTTAAAAAGACGTCAATATCCGAGGTCAAACCTTGCTTATTTTCCTATTCTTAATCTCCACTGAGCAAAATATGATGTTGAGCAGATTGCAACAACAGACTGTATATGAAAGGCAAAAACATTTGGCTTCTGGTCTCCACATTTTGACGGTATAGTTTTAGATTTTAGGATTTTCCATTAGGTGGCAGTGCCTGGTACCGTGTACTTTTCCATGTACTTTGTTTAGTACCTATTCAGCTGGCCCTGTTGCTATAACAAGCCACACACATTATGTCGTACTTGTAGTGAAAAAGGGCTATTATATTATTATTATTAGTCATCAGCTAATGCTCATGGCACATTTCTACAACTTAGTGCTTACTGTTGGTTTTTAATGTTAAAGTCTGTCGGGACTGTTTGGAGCCAGCATCAAGCGCCACATCTGTGCAACTTGTTGGCATGTGACACAACAGATGGTTTGCGTCATTTCAGGGAGGCCGGCAGTTATCGGACGGGGACGACCTTTAGGCAAAGCTGTGTTGAATAGAAGCAGCCAATCGCCGCCGAACTGCATCAGAGAGATGGGCATGCCACACCAGCTACAACCGAACAGTCTGTCATCTTACCAGTCTGACCTTCTCTAACATCTCGACAGCAGCGAGAAAGCAAATTGACATGAAAAACAATTGAACCCACCCTCACACAAACATTTTACACACAAATCACAGGAGCCAATTCAAGCTTTGTAAATACAGTGCGGGACATGAGCCTTTTGTTTTCCCATCGTGCTGCAGTCAGAATATGACTCCTTTAGGTTCCCAGAAATTCCAGAGACAGCTTTTTTTGTTTTGACTAAAGTAAGTGTTCCCAAGTGTTTTCATACAGCAGCTCTGTCCACCAGAATCCATTGTTTTGGTTGTTTCTTTGTTTTTCCAAATCCTTGTTGCACTGGAGCAGTTCTTGGGTGAGCGCGCTGGTCGCAGCTCTAACATTTTTCTCGCTGATAGTTCAGAAACCCAGTAAATGCTCGCCATTCCAGCGGGCAAATGCTCTCAGTGCTGTAATGGCTATCAAAAGTGAAGAAACTGTAACGCATTGGAGAAAGAGGCTCCTGGTGGACATGCCTCGCTAAGCTCTGCAACAACCAAATCCTGCTCTTCTTCCTTTGTGGGAATATAGTGAGAGGATCAGAATAAATTCAATTGATTTCTGAGCAACATTTTTGTTTTCCAAGGAGAGTTACACGGTTCCTTGTTCTATTGTCTGCCATATTGGTAGAAGCTATGAATGTAATGCCTGCATGGGCCTTCATAAAGAGAAGATTAGTCATGTAACATGTTGCTGTGCCGGAATGTATGCAAGTTTATTTCCCAAAAACGATTTAATTGCAGTTCTCGCCCCTCTTTTATAGAAAAAAAGGCCCCTTAGTAGCTGGTTGTGTTATCATACCAACGCTTCCTGAGTGGGATGAGCACAGACACATTCTTACTTGGTAACCTTATACCTGCTGCCCACAGAGAGTCAACTTGAATGTCATTTTCTCTCAGGCTGACAAAAGAGGGAGGTAAAATTATGCTTTCACAACATAGTTGATCAAACCCCTTGATTAAAGTACACAAGGCTGATGGCTAAGTTTCCTCGAGGCTATATTCTTCATAAAATACTGTACTGGCATGCAGCTGACAGACGGGTGAAGCTGGTGTTGGAGAGCTACCGAAAAGTAACTGCAGCATTTCACAATCCCATCTGGAGTTGCCCTTCTGTAATGGATCAGACTGAGGGTGGCTGTTTAAAAGTAATGATCTCACTTGGACTGAAGCAAAGTGAAAATGTTGCCTGTGCAGAATATTTGAGTTGTAAGAGGGGAAAAAATAGCTTTGTAGTTGTTCAAGATGAAAGAATGACATCCAGATGAATAATAACTTAAACATAAAGATATAATAAGGATGATTGAAACTATATTTTTCTAGTTTAAAGTTGTATTGTTTGAGAAGATTTGAATGCAAAGGCAAGTGGGCATTCTTTCAGTCCAGCTGAGTTCATCACAAACCAGTTGCACTCCCACATCCTTCAGATGGAGACCGGTGTTCCTCATATGAGCCCAAATGTATCTGTTCCCGATAGCTAACGATAGCCCGCCTGGGGGAAACGTGCTAGCTTGAGATGGGGAAAGAATTCACACCACATATTGTGCCTATAAACAGCACCACATGTGACTGACACACACACACACACACACACACACACACACACACACAGGATATCTGTTGCCATCTTATTCTAGCCTTTAATGTGGATAGACACGATGAAGGTATGTCTATATTCAGATACATACATATTATACATATTTACAAATAATGCTATACTACTAATAATAATTGATAACTTAGCAGTTAAGCTTAATAAATATATAACCTGAAAACCTGTATTGATTACATAGAACTTCTTGTTATTGAGGTATTGCTATATGACATGTATCGCTGAACTAGATGACTATAGTGATTTTTTTTTTTTTTAAAGATTCTTTTTATTTTGAAAAGTTTTCCTTCAGTGTGGGTTGTTCCAGACAGGGTTAGATACAAGTGGCTGAATGTGGAGAGATGGATCACCGAGAGGGTCAAATATTTGCACTTGGAGCAGAGGGCTAGAAGTCAAACAAGTCAGTCAAGTTGAAGTTGTTTTGTTTTTTTTCCGCAATCAGAACAGCGTAAACTGATTTGCAGGATGCTGTATTTTTCCAGTTGTATACTCTGCTAGTACAGGAGAACGCTGTGGTTAAGAGGAGCAAAGGAGAGACCTAAAGAAACAAGAGCATCAAACCACAGGATACTTACTTTACATGAGTTTTCTGATGTTGCTGACCACTGAACGAGCTGACCAAAAACGCAGCTCGCACGTCAGTCTGGCAGGTCGCGTGGCAGCAGATCAGGCCTTGTCTGGAACAGCCCTCTTATTAGCTTCTTCGAGGGATCGTATTACTACTGCTCCTAGTATTATGATGAATATGATGACTATAATGATTGCTATTTCGATTTCTCTTCTATATGCTATTGATATATGTATGTTAATTGCAATGTATAACTCTCTCTTTATATATGTATCCATGTATGAATATAATATGCATCTGTGTATGCTGCTAGTGCACAGCTCTGTTTGGGGGTGAAGGCAGTGAGCAGAAAACACAGATTCTGGTAGATTTCATTTATCGGCTGCCAACAGCTGTAGACTTGTAAATGAGCACTATATCTGAGATCTTCTGGTAGGACCAAAGGGTAAAACTAGATAGTTGATGATTAAAGTATATATACTGTAACGTCTTTCCTTCTTGCAGTGTCTCAGTTTGATCCTACCAGCAGAACTCACTGCTCACTGCCTTTGCTTTGCCTCTTTGGTTGAGCTGATTCACCGGGCAAGGACAGATCTGGAAACGACCGCATACACAGAGGCTTATATACTCCCGTATAGCGCCTTATTCAATATACTTCACCTATAAGATGATAACATACCCCTATTGTATAACCCTCCTTACTATATACAGTATATGATACTTGATACCTATTATAATACTTAGACACCCTTATAAGGTAATCTGAATAAGAGATGATGGGCTGTCTTTTTTTCCGTGGCTGTTGAAAAGTGTGCTGTGGTCAGAAATGTGTTCTCATCTTGCTTTTGAGAGTTAAATGGGACAGGCTATAAAGGAGAGTGGCGCTCACCCAAAGAAAATATAATTTGAGTTTTTTTAAAAATCCCATTTGGCCAACATAGACTAAAATTTGTCGATCTGGATTTAGGTTTTTGCTGTTTAAATAAGAGAGCAAATCATTTGAGGTGAGGCTCCTCTCCCTAGTGTTTGTGAGAGAGGTTGGGGAAACAAAGAAGCAAATGTCTGGGCTGCTTGTTGTGTGCGTGCCGTTTAAAAGCCGACGAATCATGACACAACCTTATCGAGCGTGTGACGGATTCTGGTGCCAAAGCATCTGATAAAACAACCAGATTTGCTCGCGTATATGTGGAAGAAATTACTTTTCTCTACCCCCCCTCTTAAAATAAAGGGGGGCAAATAATGAATTTTGTTGCTCACACAGGCATGCTTCTTCTGAATGTCACCTGACTTCAAAGTTGTGTGTTCTGATAAAGTGTCCTGATCCAGTCACTTCACTTTAATGCATCTTGCCGCAGTGAAATGATGTTACACGCTGCCCAGTTGCTGCTCCAAAAAGAAATATTCAAGTGACCTACCATCCCGTTGCCTCTTTGCCACTCCGGCTCCCCCACCCTCCGATGAAGTTTGTGTCATGTGTTTGGCAGCACCAACACACACCTACACAGCTACAAAAGACTGAACGAATCAGTTTTCAAAAGGTTAGAATTTTTTTTTATTTTTTGGGTTATTGTTTTCGGCAACTTCAAATGAGAAAACCAGGGATGCAAGAAGTGGAAAAAACAAGGCCTCTGTTTATTTGTTTGTTTTGTATGTTTTTCTTTTTTAAAAACAACATTTTGTTGTTATTTTTTTCCCCTTCTTGACTTTTTCTCTTTTCTCCTCCCTGGTTGGAAGTTGATGATCACACATGTGGACCAAATCTCTTGAAAGCATTTAATAAACTTTTAGAAAAAACAAAACCCAGTGGATTCTATTCCTTAAAATTAAGCACCCTGACATTAATCCATGAGTATGATTGGTGGCAGTCAAAATATGAAACGCTGAAACTTAATGGTGACAGGATTTATTACAAACCGGTCTGACTGCCACGCTCAGAGTTTAACGAGTCCTACACGTGACTTACAGAGATCTTACAAAACACCCTTTGCAGAGCCTGCTCTTCAGTCTGAGGCCTTAGATGCACTTTGGAGCCACAGTGAAAGTTAAATGGAGACTCTCCTCTGCCCTTTAATTTAGACATTTCTCTCAGCAAACATAAACTGCATGAATAGACTCCATAAAAGTTCATAATTAGTATAATACAGGGGTGTCAAACTCATTTTACACTGAGCCGCATGCAGCTCATTTTGATCTTAAGTGGGTCGGACCAGTGAAAGTAAAGAAGATAGAAAACTACACAATTAATTCCTGAGATTACGTTTCAACAGCATCTCTCTTTTTCTGCATAATAAAGAGATCCCGCTCTAGTAAATAAAAGATATGTCCACAGCACTCTTTAGACTTGATCTAAGTAATAGATGTGTAAATTATAGAAAAAGTAACAATAATAAAGTTAGAGTAGATGCTGGAAAAAAACGGGAAAAGACTTTTCTGTCATTTTTAAAAAAATCTATTACTCGTTTTCTCTGGTGTATTATAAACCATGGGACCGTGGGAAGCTACAGCTTTCGCAGAATACAATTAAAAATCCAATACTTAACCCCTCCACTCACATTTACCAAAGCTGCAGCGGGCCACACTGGGGTCTGAGGCGTGCCCCTGGAGCTTTATTTGACACCCATTGGACTGTTTCTGTCTTAGTTGGTGTAAAACGTGTGTATAGACGAGCATTACAAGGCCTATACTTTACATAATTGCTATTCCAGACATATAACTGGAACGTAAATGCGGGCTAGCTTAAATTTAGCCTCATGCTTGCTCCTAAGTCCCCCACACGGTGACCCTAAGCGAGTTACTCTATGATAATATACGCCATGTTAAAAAAACAAAAAAAAAGAAACACCGAACTCAAATCGTACTGAAGTCTCTTCACTCGTGGGGAGCATGTAGGGGTTAAAACCAGTTGTACCCGACTTATAACGTAACGGGTCGCTATGGGTCACGGTTTTTTTTTTTTTTTAAACTTTCGCTAACACAGGTGCGGCCCAGGATTGGCTGGCAGCGCTGTGATTAGCATAAGGTATGGCCAATGGGCGTTCTTTCCGTCGATTGCGTGGGAATGCTCGCTGCCGATTGGCTGCGCGGAGCTGGAGTGGGCGGGCCGCGTTAAGTAATTTCGGCCGAGTTCAGAGTGTGAGACCTGCCTAAGTTCTAATATCTCCCGACGTTTTTCGGGAGCGCTCACACCCGTTCAAGCACTGCCCGGGCCTCCAGGATTGTGCACTTTCACAGGAGAAAACATGACCACTGAAATCCCAGAGATTTTCAGGGCTCTTCTTGAGCATCCGTTCACTCTTCCAAACTTTGACGACAATGGTAAGTGACAGCCAAACGTAGCTCTGGTTAAGTTAAAATTCCGAAAATTAAGAGACAGATTTACCACGTAGATCGTTTATCTGAAGCGACAAACTGATTTTGAGGAAATTCGGGAACGCAAACTGTGTGTTTGTTGCGTAATCCTCGTCAGCTGAGCCGCATGAGACAGCAAGGAGCTTCTCCTTGGCTGGATTTAGAAGCTAAAAGTTGGAGGAATTTAACAGAAAACGTGGACTAAATTACTAAATAGACACTTATAATTTAAAAAAACGATACTCTAACACATACAAAGCAGGTACTGATCCTTTCATTGCGGTGGTAAAGACCGCTTAGTGTGAAAGAGGAGATATGTTGATAAAGCTAAACACCCTAAAATAAGATCACCTGCTGTTTTTAATGATCATCGCGTTGCAGGCTAATAAAAATGCTGTCATTCGTGGTTGTAACGGATTAGTAACACCGCCTCTTTTGGCTGAAAGCTCCAGTAAGCAGACTCAGATCGACCTGCAAATCAGATCAGTATCTAACACCCACTGATCCTCTGTGACCTGTGGTGGTTTTGTTGCTGCACAATTGCACTTTGACAACGTCTCAGTCAGGAAAGCATGTTTGGTATGTGACTGCTGAAACATGCAGGTGTGTGAGACCACTGTGGCCCCTTTAAGTGAGCCTGCTTGGGAGATGATGCCTCATATAATTTAGGCTGACCGTTTTGGTTTTGTGTTTAACACAAACACAACAATCTCAGCGTGGGTGGCGTTTGAGGTCGACGCAATGACTCTGTTTTCATTCCGTGTAAGTGATCACAGAGATATAATATCTTCAAATTGAGACTAAATCTGCCCCATTTAACAGGACTGCACAGTAGTCACTCAGGCTGAGTTTTTAAATGGGGCCATCACAGTACTAACATGACTCGTGAAGCAAAAGCAGTCCTTTTGTTGTTGTTGTTGCTTTGCTGCACAGTATGTTTGACTTGTTGTTGTAGGAGAGAAGTTAGATTAGGTTCAGGCTCCAAGTGCTATAAAATGTAATTTTTGGGTGAACTGCCCCTTTATGCAGCATGATGAATCAATAGTTAGTTGACAGTTGACTCTAACTTGTCCATAGGTAATGAATGTGGCGTGAATGGTTGTCAAGGAGTCTGCCTGTTGTCCTGTGACAACTGAGATGGTCTGCAGCCCCACCTCAAGCTCCCTGAACTGGTCTTTGCAGACCATGAGAGAGCAAGTGGTAAATTTACAGCAGGCGAGAGTACTCTGCTGCTCTGTGTCCAATTAAGTAGTTTAATGCAGCTCAAGTCAGAGCACCTTTCATTAGAGAGATTCAGGAGCTCCATATTTTCCACCTTTAGTTTTGATCAGAGACTAAATCCTCCCCACCATCGAGGTCAGGGAATGAGCCACTCACCAGCTGTTCCTTGCTAGAGGGGCTGTGTTCCTTCTTTAAAATACCTTTGATGGTGATTTACTGCTTTCATGTCAGGCAGCATGCTCGGTCAGCTCACGTTTTTTCTTTTTCTTCTTTGTAAACTCACGTGTGACTTACCAGTAAAATTTTGATGTCTTTCATGCTCGAAAATTCTTCCGCCAAGTGTTGAAAGACCGAAAGAGAGCGTTTTGGTTTATGCACAGGCATTATTGATGCTGTGTGTAAATTAATTGAGCCTTGGTTTATTGCTATATTTTTGAAATCCTCAAACTTTTAGCTGGGCCTTTTATTCTTTTCAAACTTTCTGTCCTATATACACTGTTACAATAGTGTATTCTAATATTTAACATGACCAGAGGGGCAGAGCGAGGATGATGAAGGACTGCACTAAGGGTCAGTATAAAACAGATCATTATATGGACGTAGAAATTTTATGATGACATATATAATAACGTTCAGGCGTGCACTGCCTGTCGTACATACTGATCATAAATAGAACCCGTGTGTACCATGAGACAGACGCAAATGACCAGGATGGATCAGATCTCACATTCGTCTTGGTGTGTGTTGCTCCAAAGCCAAAGATTTTGACGCGAGGACTGTAAAGATGCTTTTATTCTCTCCCACTCTTAGCTGGGGTATGTTTTAGATTAGGAAGTTGTAGGAGTTGTCTACATGTGAGGACATGACATGAAGGTCAAATAAACTAGTTTCTTATAGGGTCTTGTCCAGCACCTCCAATGCAAACTCTCTACACACACTTATTATTTTGGACCGTAGTCTAAAATCACATGGAGCTGTACAGACCACAAACAGATACTTTCCTAATTTGTTTCCCTAATTTTGCACAGACAAGATTTTAGTTCTACTTGTTAATGCAGCTAATAGTTTATCATTGTGGTTAAGTGGCATATATAATAAGTGGGACAAAGTTCAGTGTGACCACCTATAGCAGATGACCTTGGGGGATTGTATTTGTTTTTATCGCTGTGACACAAATGCGGAGAAAAACTCCCTCCCCCACTAAAGACAATAAAACTGTGCCTTGTGTGAGGAAAGCATGCATGTAGCTGCCTTTCATAGGTTGCCTTACTGAATGCTTCATGTTAGTGCACACTTTGGAGGGCAATAACATGTGTCTATTTAAATGCCTTTTTGCATAAGAAAACAGGATGTAGATTTTAAAAATCCTCTTTCTTTCTCCGCAGGATATGATTTGCTTCAATTTCCACATCATTCAGATTATTGTTTATTTATTTATTTTTTACCACCACTTTTTTCACCAGGAGTAAAAAAAAATGTTTACTGTATGCTTAAAGGCGATGTGGGACAATTATCAGCGACCACGATCGTGATTAAGCTTTCTGCGGTACAGCACAGACATGCACATCTTTGCCCCTTGGTCTTCTGCTTAGCTGCAGCAGCATAGCCCACACCAACTAAACCTCAAGGTGCTGCTCCTCAGCCCAATAATACTTTGGCACTGCAGCGCCGCCCTTCTTGCTCACGCCTGCGTGTGAGCCACAGAGACACATCGCGGCGTCATTGGACAAAACCGGGCGATATGTAAGAGCGGCACCTGCACGTGTGTTTGCATGTGAGCTGGGCAGGCTTTGCTAGTCAGGACATGATCCGAGCTTTTTGTCCCACTTTTTGTGCAGTTTTTTCTTCTTTTTGGTTTTTCTGTCAGAGTATATCAATTAATATAATCTTCAAGTATTTCTGATTAATATCTTATTTGGGTTAGATGGTTATAGTTATTGCCTGTTCGTAAATTTAGAAAAGGTGCTATAAACCCTCGCTGTCTGTGTTTATGTGATCGTATAACATTAAAAGAACTGGAAAGAAAGCTAAATAACCGAATAAGGGTGGGAAAAAACTCGGTTAAAATACGTGTTGCAATAGTTTTTTTATATCTTATTTAGGTGAACATGTATATAACTCGGTCAACCAATGAGAGCGCAGATAGTTTTCAGGAACACGCCCCCTCGCGCTGTAATATTAATATTCATGAGGTCAGACTCAGCCGGCCAATCAACACAAAGCCA